CAGTAAACTACGTTTATAACGAACACGCTTATAACGAACTGGCGGATCTAACAAACTGTTTTTTGGGGGGGGCCCAGCCAATTACTGTATATATGCTGTATATATGTTTATAACGAACTGCGGCTACAACAAACTAAAATTAGTGGTCCCTTTGAGTTCATCATAACCGTAGCTTACTGTACAATGTCTACAACTGGAAATGGTCACTTTATCCTGGAATATGGTCCCTCTTGAACATGTTAATTGAACATCACAACCATCAACACAATGTCATTGAAATAATAGCATGAATATCACAATATGGAGACAGAGAAATGTATATTTTTGGTCACATGTACAAGCTGTCATGGGAAAAACAGTTTACATAAGTGTTCAAATCAAAAGCTTGTACATCCAGCCTTATTAGGCTTATGAGACACATTTAAGTACATGTGTATTCATTGTGAAATAAATAAATAAATAAATAAATAAATAAATAAATAAATAAATAAATAAATAAATAAATAAAAAATTAAAAAATAAATAAATAAATAATGTGTGTACATACAATGATATTCATGTTCAAGAGGAAGTGTAGCAGTGTGGTCCAAGCTAATTCTGCCTTGTAAAGGTCCAATTAGCCAGTCACCTGATCTGCCTGAACATCATTAAAGTGCAGCAAACTAAGTATACATGGTATAAGCAGGCCCAGTGTTTAGCCTCAGTGCTTTGGTACTGCTGAGTACAGTCAATCAATAGGTCCCCAGCAACCTAGGCTGCTCGTAAGAGGCGACTTAATGGATCAGGTGGTCAGGCGCTGACTTCGTTGATTGCGTGCATTGTACCCTAATGCTGAGAATCGTTGCTGATAATTAAAATCAATCACTGGATTGTCAGGACCAGGCTCGATTACTAACGGGCTTGCCTCATATAAATGGAATATTGTGGCGTGCAGCTATGAACAACAACCATCAATTTGTGCATTTACAAAATGTGCACACAGTCTTTTACATTTATACCTCAATAAACACAAAAATTGTTGAAATGTTCCTTTAAGTGACTTTTAAGAAATTGGTACACCATTAATTCTTCTCAGATGACCTACCATCTTAGTAAGTGCAACTTACATTAAACAGGCAGTCCTCCAATTTTGGTAGATTAGTTTAACATGTTTAGTGAAGTCGTGAAAAAATAATATTAGTTTACTCTACTAGTTTGATACGTTTTCATCCAAGCTTAGGTTACATATCTGACCATGCATTTAGCGACTTGCATTAATGAGCCAAACATGTACTCAATAAGCCATCAGTAATATCAGTCCCTTTTACCACCTTGAGTAATGGAGAAATAATGTGTGGACACAACTAGACTAATTTGTTCAGTCTTCACCATGACATCTTCTGATTAGTACTATTCATCACTTATCTAATAAATAGGGTTATGATTACTGATAACTTACCAGCTGTTGACAGCTGCCGAAACAAAATGAGCATGCTCCCTGTTGCACCATAAACACATAGCACTGTAACTCGGTAAATTTCATCACTTAATTTATTTCATCTGTCAAGTTGTAAAACTATTAAACTGATAGAGGGTGGTTTACATATGTAAAAAATGGTTAATACAAAATGAATGTTGAGAAAACAATGGAACGCTTTGCCTCAAAACAAGATTGAGGTACGGTGGGCAAATAGTGTTATCTAATATCAATAGGACTGACTATATTTCACATACCTACAAGGATAATACTGGGTGGGGCCTTGAACTTTTAGCCCCTAAATTTGAAAAAAGGCCCACATTTTCAAATACAATGGGGCATTTTAACATTATGCTGTATAGGCTATCCTCTGGAAAATTTGAAAGTTTCACATAAACATGATAAAGGGCCCATGTCAGAAAATTCCGGGAGTGAACCCTGTACCTATCAGCGTACAACAACTTTTTTCAAGGGATATTTCAAATGTTTACTGCGAATAATTAATAAAATTGTGGTGACTGGTATCATGATTGTGGAGTTCTATTGAAAATACCACAAGGGTCATTCTACAAATACTAATCATATATTACATGTGTGACAACATGGTTTTGATCAAAACGAAATATCTTTGGCATTATACTTAATTTCCCAAACTCATTCAAATCTGTACATCTTTCGATCACAAGTTAAAAGAAGTGATTATCAATTAGTTGTGACAATGACTGTGGCGTGGTCAATATCTTGTTTCAACAGGCAATGTAACCATTGGTAACAGTAAACACGTCACGTTACATTTTATGGACAAATTCTGTTCTCTTCCGCTCATTCTGATAATAAATTTAACTTATGGTCTTAATAAACTCCTCCCTGTGTCAATTTGTTAAGCATCCAAGGAGTTTATCATGTTTATTATCGTGGGAATTTGGTACAAAATATGATAATGATTCCACCAGAATTGCAATAGTTGGCAGCCCAGTTTTATACACTGATTGAGGTACTGAAACACCCCCGTTTGGTATTGCGTCATATTTCAACAAATGTATGTCATATCCCAATCTGTATTTACCCATAAACTCTTAAAGTGTATTGGAACCAGTGTCCGAAATAGCCGCCTGCCTCCTAGTCCATGACTTCAAAATTTCAGCTGGTCTCAAGATTTTGAAAGCCAACTGGCTAACAACATTTTTAGGGTGAGATATTATATCACACCTCTTAGCAGATCAAAAATTCTGTAGATCAATACAACCATCAAAAATAAAAAATCAACTTAATATCCACAACAAATTGAAATTGCAAGATGAAATTTACCTCCTTTCATCTTGCTTCTAGTTCTAATTTCTTCCCTAATGGACAGAGCAGTTTGATGGTAAGTTAAATTTGAAACTTGCTCGTAACATTTTAGGCTAGCTAGGCCACCTTTGACATATAAACTTGTCTACCATGTCTATATAACATTTCTTGCTCCAAAGGTTTTACAATATTCACTGGTATTAATTCTGTGGGGCCACAGATACCAAACATACATATATGCACGTAGAACATGTAATTTGATACGGAAAATCAATCTAAAATCTGAGAAAATATTATATTTCTTATGAAATTGTGTGGAAGGTTGCCTCCAAAACAGACAGTTAAGTGACAGTTTGATAATCAGAATCAAACATTATTTGCTTATTTTGTTGATTTGTACTGATATTCTTGGTCAACAAGGTCACTATGCCTAGATACAGCCTATGGGCTAAGGAAAAAAATAACAAACATATATATCTGGCCAGGGTTGAAGTAAGTATAATTTCCTTAACAAAATAGAAATAGAAATTTTAACAAAATACAAACTTGAATATTTTCAATTTTAAGCATATTTTCAACTAAACAGAATATGTAAGACAATTTCTTTTGAACAACCCATATTTGAGTCCTGTCCTGTCTAATATTGAAATCACTGATAATAAAATCCGCCATTTCCATGCACTGACAGCTTTACAATGTTATGACCCACACATTAATCCCTTGACTTTCTAACTCGGCATAGTTCAGTTATTGATAGGAAACTCGAACACGTATAGTGTACCTGTAGAGTGGGCACAGCTGATAACACGTTACTGCTTGTCATGCACGAAGATAATCAATTTTGTATATGTTGTATACAGATTTAACTTCACAGACTTCTGACTGGCATACAAAACTGACAGAACTCTCCAGCAACTTTCAGTCATTCGTCATTTGTTGGCTTAACTGTTGTTGATAATTTATTCATGCTTTAGAAAATGAAGAGGATTGAAAATGAAGGCTGCAAAGTGAAAGTCAAGATCTAGGGAACAGATTCAATTGGAAAGAAGAGTTTGCCACTAACGTGGCTATATCCCCCGCCCCTGTTGCAGAATTTATGACATAATTAAATCTAAACAAACCCTAACCTTTTTTAACCGAGGTGGAACTTGTCATAGAAATTGTAAAAAAAAGAAGAGTTTGGAACCTAAGTCCATCTTGCTGCCATGGAAACGTAAAAAATAAAAATTTCTAAAACTTCTAAATAGCAAAAGGCACCAGTTCAGCATGTACCTGACAGACCTGCAAATTTTGATGAAAAAATATTGAACCGTTTATGAGTTATGCTCTGGAAACAAAACGTGACGAACGGACGGATGGACGGACGGAGCCCGTTTCTATATCCCCGGCCAACTTTGTTGGACGGGGGATAATTATGTGGAAGCACAAGTTTTGACTAGTGGACTGGTCACTAATCCATATGCTTGTAGGATGCTACAATTCCTATCACAACACATTATGAATAGTGGCAGTGTCGGCAGTCATTTTGACATCTGTCACAATGCACATGGGATGAGAATGTGTTCTTGAGTTTTTTGGCAAAGTAGTTTAGGCCTAAATCTTTTTACATGTTGAAAATTAGGATTCTAACAAGGGGTGAGATGGGTAACATGTGGCATTATGTCACATCTAAGATGATTTCACTCATATAGCAATGTGTGTGTGTGTGTGTGTGTGTGTGTGTGTGTGTGTGTGTGTGTGTGTGTGTGTGTGTGTGTGTGTGTGTGTGTGTGTGTGTGTGTGTGTGAATGTGTGCGTGTCTATGTTTGTAGTAGTCATGACTTCTGCAGGTTTTATAGTGCAAGCCCCATGCTGCAGTCTCACATTGATACAGTATCCATGGCAAGGCATGGCAGCTCCCAAGGCAACCAGTCCTTCCTTTATCCCCCAATGCTGAGTACCAGGCAGGGTAACAACAAGTACCATCTCTTATCTTTTGGCATATGACACGGGCAGGAGATCGAACAACAGATAACAACTGCTCCCTGTGCAGAGGCCACTACAATGATGAGGCAGTTTTTTAACGAGGACCCTTGGACATTCAGCATCAATTTCGAACACATGCAGTGTTAAAGACTGCAACTACAGAACAGAGCTGTAAGTTAAGGGACACTTGAAGCGTCATAAGTTTAATGACACTTGAGACCATCACATTTAGTTTCGTGTGTCTAACTATTATTTGGTCAGTCTTCCTCCATATCAGAGATGTTCTTACCTTGATTGTTTGGCTCAGGTAGGTTTTCCCTTGCAACTAGGTGCATCACAGTTGTCTTACCGGTGGGTAACTGCAGAGCTGCAACAAATAAATAGAACGTAAGTTCACGATCAGAATTTATTAGGCCTTGTAGTATGTTTGTTTTGTTTGTTGTTCAACAGTGATCTGTTGATAATCAAGTCTCGACCAGATAATCCAGTGATTGACATCATAAGCATAGACCCACGCAATCAACCAAGTCACTGACTCTGATCACCCAATCCATTTAGTTGCCTCTTACAACAAGCATCAGTTGCAGGGGACGTTTATTCTTACCCGGAATCCCCATGGGTCGCTAGAAATAATATTTACACAAAATAACAAGAGTTTTGGGGATTAACTTGATCAACACTACTTTTTATTCTCAGATCAACAAATCAGTAGTTGTGTCCTACACTGTGGAAACTTCAAAATGAATAATGAGTATGTTATTTTGTTGCAGTTAGCTATAATCATGATAATCAAGAGCTATGGGGTAGGGGGAGTAAACCAAAGTAAAACATTTCCTGTCCCTATCTATCTACCAATATGCCAAACAGGATGCTAATTGTATATCACCCAGGATGGCCGTTTAAATTTGAAATGCCACAGTCAGCCTTATTCCATCTATATGACAGCAGCCTGTGTGTAATCAGAACCAGGCAATCCAATGGTCGATATAATGAGCAACATTCCTTGGCGTCGGATACAACACACAATCAATTAATTCAGTGTGCCTGACTTCCCGATCCATTAAGTCGCCTCTTACGACCAGCATTGGTGGGTGGGAAATAATCTACTGCTGGACCACAATATTCCACCTGTAAGGCAGCGGCCTGTAAATATCCCAGAATCCCTACTACCTCACAAAATGGGACAAACATACTGTACCCAGACAGATATTGAACCTAGTTTGTCTTTTGAAAACAATCTAAACTTGGTAATGATCGCGTGAGGTTGTTTAACACCATGGTAATAAATCCCACAGGAGGCCTGAAGTAACTGAGCCTGGATGAGGAAGGAACCTTAGTGGTTCAACAAGACAAGTAGACAACAAGAAGCGGTTTTCAGTTTCATCAATTTGATCACTATTTCATACCTCACCAAGAACAATTAACGACTCTGGAATCTGATCTTGCTTGACTACAAAAGTTATATAACAAATCACGACACTCATCCCCACTTCAACCAGCATGGACCTATTTTACCCTGAAATTTCCCAAGGCATTCCTGTCAATGAGAACAATAGCATTGACAACTGATATAGATACATCATGTAGAGGTGTAACAACTAACTTTGTTGCAACATGATACATATCACAACAGTCACGATACGATGCATGAAAGCTGGACACTTTAATGAGGATGTTCTGTCATCAAAGGGAGAGATGAGAGACTCAACAAAGTCATTTATCCTCAATTTAAATCCATAAACTGAACAATAGCTTCAGAACTCATTCAGCAAGTAAGTGAGCTGGGTTATTGCCACATCGAAAAGTATTTCAGTAATATCATGGCATGTCAGCTCAATGTGAGAGGACATTCAGCAATATTCCAGCTATATGACGGCGATCTGTAAATAAGCGAGTCTTGATCAGACAATCCAGTGATTGATATCATGAGCATCGATCCACTCAATTAGGATATGATGACATGCATCAACCAAGTCCGCGAGCCTGACGACCCGATCCCGTTAGTCGCCTCTTACGACAAGCATGGGTTGCTGAAGACCTATTCTACCCTGGATCTTCTTAGGTCATGATGTGATACAGGTCTTAGATGTTACCACATAAGATACAGGCAGTATTTGCGTTTACGGCGTCCCATATACAAAAATACGCACTGAAAAAAAATAGGACAAAAAATACCAACATACATGCGTCCCCTTACACGTTTTTCATTCTGAAAAAGTTCACTTCACTCTTAATTTATTGTTGTTTTGTTTCATGTTTCTCTCGCTCCCAAAACCTATGTGATAATGTGTATCCAATATTCGCTGGGTTCCGGTGCTTGCCAGATTTCGGTGTGAACGCAGGAAACTGAGAGGTATCTGATGACGTTTCTCTTCCATGTCGTGGCCGTAATGGCATCGCTGATTGCCCAGGCAAAATTATTTAGATAAACATATTAAACGATCTGGTCATGCATACACTGAAGTTTTATCTTTATTCAAACCATAAAGGTCAGAAGGATTGGGTGCATAATCAGAAACATATCACATGACAAACCACAGGTCCGGGTAGTCCTGTGGGTACCCAGGTCCTTCTCAGTACCCACCCCACCTGAATACCCGAGTCACCCATCCCAGCCCTAATCTGGATGCAGTTTTGCACAGTGCCTTGGATGATTGCGCCATGCGTACCTCCTTCACAAATTATTCACGAATGAAACATGAGGACACAGTATTATGAACAAATTATCGACAGGTAACTTCAGTATATCAATACAGCACTGGCAAATGGACAAGGGCAAAACAATATGTAACAAATATACTCACAGACAAAAGAAACGTGAATACCATACATGTTGGTTAATATATGAAGAATTACTCATATTCAAGATATATTAGTTTGGTTCGATGCACAAACGAACATACTGGTATGTTGTGTGAATCGACGCTCATGAACGCATTACATGTGACGTCATAGATCCATGACTCAAGAAGCACCATTTGTCTCGAGCAGAATTAGCTTACATACTTCTCTGATTGTTTCTATGGTTCACGTTTCTTTTGGCAATGAGTATATATATAAAAGGTATATGCCAGAGAATATTCGATTATCTGCCAAAATAGATTCCACTAGGCATAAAAGGCAAAATAGCAGTTAAAAAGTTTATGAATGGATCACTGAAATCAGTGATGACACCAGGTGTTCACAAAAAGGGTAAGCATGTCCTGCCCTACCAGTAGCAACCCACAATTTGCTTAAAAAAGTAGCCTGTCCCCATGCTGAAGAGATACATTTAAGAGGACATACATGATGCATTATTTATCTTCCATACAACAGGGACAAAGTTAATGTTTCATGATTAATCTGAAAGTGGTATTTGTCAGACACAAGCTGTTTCATCGCCACGAAGCCATGTGATTATGTACATGAAAGTAACGTAAGAACAACTACATGGAAGATAATGGAGAATTTACGACCCCACGAACACAGGATGACATATGTGCATTACACCCATCCCAAGGTGAAGCCATCGAGGTCAAAAGCATGACATCCGTATGACGCAATAGTTTTAAACCATAAATATTACACAGATGTATATTAATTTGCGACGTTCAAATATGTGTCCCATGGGCTCTTGGTTCATAGTAAATTAAGTCATGATTGATCTACTCACTTGACAATAGACCAAATTAGACCATTTAAATATTATGCCTTCCCATGTACATAACGTAATTGTATCTACGAAAGTGTTTGCCTTTGTTTTTCGAGCCATTTGTGAACATTATAGATATGTCTACAGGAAAGCATGCTGTTCCCTAGCCTCATAAAACTGGAAGTAATAATGCTGCCCCAGCTGTGCCATGGAGTCATAGGACTTTTGAAGGGGGTCATTTTATGGGTTTTCCAGCATAAGACAAAGCTGTTTATTGATATTGTATTGTCAAGGGATATGACCATTTCAGATTTTAACTTTCCGACAGCAAATAAGTTATTGATTTTGATGAATGATCTGTGTCAAAATTGAGGCAATGGAGAAATAATGTTGCATATCTGTTGTACAAATACACACATTTTCTGTGTCAGGACAAACCCAGCAGGAAAATTGGCCTAAAACATTTAATCTATCATAGACAAATTACTGTGGATTCTGACTTTTATACTCACTGTATAAATGTGAAATATTAACATGCCCCTATATCTGTCTAAAGTCACATGCGAACAAACCCCATCTTTACAAATCAGGTGTCATGATGCTCCCTCACCTACTGCAAAACATGATGCTCCCTCACCCACTGCAAAACATGATGTAGACAGAAAAAAGGTCCCAGCTGGAGCCCAACCCAAGTAAAGTTGGTACAAGTCATCATGTAAACAATATATTTTTGAAACAAAATCACCTGTTATCCCGACCTTGATCTCAGGGAAAAAAAGGGGTTATCCTATTTTATGATATTTTAAAGTGTGCCTAGTAATTACTGGGATCACTTGTCACCTAAAACTAATTTATCAAAACATAAGCACTATATATATACAACAGATCGGCAAAGAAGCTTACTGACTGAATGATGTCCACAATCAAAGACCTTGAAGTGACAAAACCACATGACTTTGAAGCTCCACAAGACTCCCAACCCATAAAGATCTGGGTACAAATATGTCTTCAGCTACCCATGCTTGTCGTAAGAGACGACTAACAGGATTATGTGGTCATGCTCGCTGACGTGGTTGATGCATGTCGTCATATCCCAATTGCATGGATCGATGCTCATGATATCAATCATTAGGTTGTCTGGTCCAGACTCGATCATTTACAGAATTTAACTGGAATATTGCTGAGTGTGGCTTTAGATAACAAACAATCAAACAAATCAATAGCCAACCCAGCTGATCAATATTATTGACTTGACTTGACTTGACTTGATTATTGATAGACCACTGTCATGTTGCTGAAATATTGAGTGGGCGTTGAACAATAAACGAACAAACCACAAGACTCAAAATTGAGGATGGTTTGCAAAGTTTCATTCACCTACTGTTTATACTTCTTAAAAGCGTGTCAACAATTCGTTTAACACAGAAAACGACATATAAATCTTTGAAACATTTCAATTCATATTTTTTACATTGTTTGCTTGTTGTCTAACGAAGCTATCAGCAATTTTTGACAGGCCACTGACGATGACATGCAAATAATTGAACCTGGTCCATGAGTGAGTGAGTTGTGTTTAACGCCGCTTTTAACAGTATTCCCGTTATATTGTGGCGTGTCAGCTTAATGTGGGAGGAAAGCCTGAAGTGATGCAGGTCTCAGACGTTTACCACTTCGCTGAAACCCACGAGCACGGGTATGGTGCTGACAAACCTAGAAACATAATTGGGGCGAACCGGGATTCGAACCCACAATCATAGGTTTCTGGCGTGTCCAAGGGACGAAACTCTGCACAGCGAATCGCGGCGCCTTAGACGACTGGGCCACCCGTGCCCCCGAATCTGGTCCAGAGAAACCAGTGCTTGATAGTATGAGCAATGTACATGTGTAATGATTCAGTCATGAGGATAAGCAAGTAATGCCACTGAACCGGACAATCTGATCCACCAAGTCACCTTGTACAACAGGCATGTTGCTGGGGACCAATTCAAACTACCATGGGTTTCGTGTTAACTATAAAGGCTTACACTGAAAATCTTTTGTAACCCATTCAATGCCAATCATGAATTGCTCAGAATTGGCTTTTACCAAAATGTTTTATGTGTGCAATTGGCGACAAAATACAAAATACATTACTGTTCAACACTCTCTAGGTTATCTTTCGAAGCGTATTGACACAAAATAAATCCCAGGCTATCTAGGCCCTAACTAGTTCCTAGAAGAGTGTTGTTCGTGATCATAAATTGATGAATAGGCAATGAACAGTTCAGATATACTGTGCAAACATACATTCACGATCATATCAAACAGTTTCCACTACACTATAACAACCATGAGCTATTGTAACTTTCTAAAGATATGAGGGAAAGAGAAAGTGTCCTGTCAATAAGCTGTTATCTTAAAACTTTCAAATGATTAAAACCTATGCATTTAAATATATCTAATCATTTCATTTTCCTGTTACTAACCAAAAGCATTTATCAGATGTTTTGACTCACAACCTTTGACCTTGACCTTCAAAAATACCTGACACTTTCTCTCTGCATCTACATCAATTATATAAATAAACAAACAAACAATTGTTTAAAATCATGGAATGCACAATGTAATTGATGTGGAGCATAGCAAATCCCCAGCAGATGTGCCATCATGATTACAGTGCATATCGATTGCAATGTTCTGAAATGCATATGCCCTGTCAACAGGTGTCTCATAACATTACACAAATGAACTTAATCCAAATATGCATGAACATAGCGGGACCATATCATATGGTGTGTAGTGCATCTTTGCTATGCTTCATATTTCACATGTACAGTTGCATTTAATTGATTTGTTTGTTTGTTTGTTGTTTAATGCCACACTCAGCAATGTTCCAGCTATATGAGGGCGGTCTGTAAATAATCGAGTCCAGACATGACAATCCAGTGATTGACATCATGAGCATTGATCCACTAAATTCGGATATGATGACATGCATCAACCAAGTCCGTGAGCCTGACCACCCTATCACGTTAGTCGCTTCTTACAACAAACATAGTCACCTTTTACGGCAAGCACGGGTTGCTGAAGACCTATTCTCTAGCCGGATCTTCACGGGTCGCATTTAATTGAAAAGTCAACTTGATGATAACATTATTTAATACATACATGAACAGCGAGTTTGTTTTATTGCCGCTTTGAAAACTATTTAAGTCATATGACGTGTCACTTTGATGTGGCCATCTTCTCGAGGCAAGTGTATGAGTGAGTGAGTTTAACGCCGTTTTGAATAGTATTCTAGGTATATCACAGTGTGTCAGCTTAATGTGGGAGGAAAGCTTGAAGTGATGCAGGACTGAGACATTTACCACTTTGGTGAAACCTACGAGCACGGGGTATGGTGTTGACAAACCTAGAAACATAATTGGGTCGAACTTGGGTCGAACCAACAATCATAGGTTTCTGGCGTGCCGAAGGGACGCAACTCTTCACAGTGAACTGTGGCGCCTAAGACGACTGGGCTACCCGTGCCCCCTCCAGAGACAAGAGTGTCAAATAGCCTATATCAAAACCTAATTTCCATACTCGCCATTTCAAGCCAATTTTTGTAAGCGAGGACTATTGCACATAACATTTGACTGAAATCAACATCCGGTTTCTGAAAAAGTGGTCTCTGCTATAGCCACAGCCATCACCAGTCGTATTTGAGTGGAAATAACTTGTATATTTATATACTCATCCTATCTCACACTATGCTTTTTTTCTTTGAACCTATGTCGAAAAGTGCATGAACAAAGTTTCCAGCTTCTAAAAACAATTCACATTTCAGCAAAACCATGGTCATGTACCCAACAACTCCCAAAGACAATAGCATTTGACTTCTCTCGGCATCCCTTTTAACACTTTGTCAAGGCTATAAATCACACCCAAGTGAGTGAAGCGTGCCCAGACGAAAGAGGAACGATGACAATATCCACAGAGGATCTTCGAAACAGCGCCCGACAACACGAATCCTCAAGGCAGAGGTGAGATGAATAAAGGTTTGGGACACAAGTGCAACAGTCGTGCCATGTGACGACTTCATATTGGAAGTTCGAAGTCTCTACAGCTGAGCCAATGCACTCTCAGCCTGGGAAACCCAAACAATTTAAAAACAAAAAACACGGGTGCTAAAGTTTCAAGATTTCGTAAGTATAGACATGAGTGTAGTACAAGATCAAGATCAGGACTGGGTACACGCGTCAGTTATCTGAATTGACGAGTCATGGACAGCTGCTGCGCAAGGACTAGAAGAGAGAACTGGTTTAAGCCCTAGATGTCGGTGAGGCGGAACTGTGTCCCAACTTCCAAAATGCTCCCTTACATGATGGCGTAGAAGGTGCAATTGTTGTGTGAGGTCATGGTGCACGCGACAGCTAGAGTTTCATGTGGAATGGACGCAACAGGTGGAGGCAACCCAGCAAATGTGTAAGCCTGTGGGATGACGAGTAGAGGCAGAAGGAGACCCTGGTATGGGAAACTTCTTTTAATGCCGCAGTCAAGAGTGGAGTGAAGATATAGGCAAGTAGACACTCTTGCCTTGGCAAGATTGATGTGACAGGAAAGATCATAATGATGCAGGTCTCAAATGTTTACCACTTTGCTGAATCCCATGAGTACAGGTATGGTGCTGACAAACCTAGAAACAAAACTCTGGTCACCAGACTCTGAATCTGCACCCATGATCATATGTTTCTTGCACCTCCAGGGGATTTCACAGCTAATCGAAACACCCTGGATGACTGGGACTGGGCAGTTGCTAAATATTCTGTCAACCATTACTAATAAAAACTAACCACGAAAGTATACAAATCCAGAATGTAACATAAACAAAAGCTCTCACTGTTTGAAATTCTACAAGCCCTCAGCATACCATTATCATACTCATCAATGTGTTCAGTTTCCGTCTGAGGAGTCAATCATTAAAACAGTGATTCATTATGTTCAAATTACAATCACCCCCCTCGATAATGCTGGTCTTGCGTGCATGTCAGACACCCATGTTATTTCCAAATTGGGAATATAGGTCGGATGATGCTGTATTTTCATATGTAAAGTGCACACTCAGAAAAATTGCTATTTCATGTAGTGTGCGCAGTAAAACACAACAACATTGTATTGCTTCAGGTGAAAACAAAAAGCATATAACAAACTTGGTGAATGAAAATAAATAAAATAAATTAAAAAAAGCAAGAAACCAATGCAAGAAATAAGAGGATCTGGGGTCTATATCATTAACAAGGAACCATTGAATGAATTTCTTATGCAAAACATGGAATTGCTGTATGCATAATATGTTATTTAATTGTTATGCAGTCTACCACTTGCAGCAAATAACCAGCCATTATGCACGTACTTACCAGCTAATGTGACGTTACCATGGAGAAATCGTCCTTGGTAAATGAGCCGCAGAATGTTGGTTGGGGGTAGCTGCTCTTCTGACCAATCTGAAACATCAATGGACATCATACAGTGTATCATAATGATCAATAAAACAAATTACTCATATTACACGAATTGCAGTCATTAGGATTAATGTTCACGACACCTGTACCACCGATCCATGATTAAACATGGACTGATTCAGGTCTCACTGCCCTCTCTTAAAGCTAACATCATGCACATCCAGTATGTTTGAATCCTAGGCACCAGGGAGGCTAGGAATAGAAAAATCGGATGGTTTTGCACATTTGATGTTCATAATGTTGTATGTCTGTTCTTATGGATGCAGTCTATATCCCAGCCTATGACAGTGGTCTGTACGTAATTGAGCCTGGATCAGGTGGTTTGTAGAAGGATCAACGTCCTACACAAAAGGTTGTGATGACACAATCAGCTGGGTGACCTGGGTCCCGATCCTTGAAGCAAAGATGATCCTAACGCCCATACCTTGACAATGAGTTTTGAAAGCTGTAGCTCTACGACTGCATAATGGAACCAGGTCCAGAACTCCTGATAGCCATTTTAGCCAGCCCTTACGATAAACTTGACGTGTACCCGACTCGGAACTCCTCTGGGGGTTAATAGTGTTGAAGTGAGTGAGTGAGGATGCTTTTACGCCGCTTTTAGCAATATTCCAGCAATATCACGGCGGGGGACACCAGAAATGGGCTTCACACTGTACCCAGGTGGGGAATCGAACCCGGGACTTCGGAGTCATGAGCTTTAACAACTAGGCTACCAAAGCTCCCCTAATAGCGTTTAACTACAATAAGGTATTCTACATTCATTTAGTTGGATTGCTTTCAGGTGTTACAATACACTTGCTAAAGTAAATGACTTTCTACTCGTTTAATTACCCCCACCCCAGCCTTTTTGATGACCAAATATGGCAAAATGTCTTGTAATTAGCATTTCAAATTCACTAAAAATAGCCAGGGCTTGAGTTAAGGAATTAAAAGCAAGTTGCACCAGACAAAACCAGGTTGCATCCTGGTTCCATCAATTTATCATGTTGTAACCAGCGGTAGAAACTAACAGGTTTGAACCACTAGTCCTTATAATGATAACATATAGCAAAACCCTTAAAAAGGGCAAATTTCTACTAGTCCTTATGATAACTTAACTATTGGGCAGTTTGGCAAGGACTACAGGACTACAGGACTACAGGACTAGTGCCAATTTCTAATGCCGCTTTACCATGATGGATGTAAAATTCAGTGTATTCGTAATGGAAAAGGATAACAATTCATCATTACTAGGTGTTCAAATTAAAGAATGAAAGTCAAGGGATCCTTGTCATTCCCATATTGATAGAAGTCAAAGACTAAGGGGATCTCTAGATTCATATACAAAAGGAGCAAACCTCAAGGACACTAGGATCTCATGTTATGTTTGAACACTGGTTACCTAATAATAATAACTCTGTGTTGCAGATAATGAATAGTCTTTCTATCTTTCCCAGTGTTCTATGTTTCAACATCACACGGGCAGAATTGGTTTACAGTACCCCATGGGGAGATTCTGTGACAAGCTTGTGAAACCATAACAGGGCCCAGGTGGTCACAATGTGTGACTAATACTAATTAGTACTCAGGGCTCAGTTTCACAAAGAGGTCTTAGCGCTAAGATGATTATAACTCCAGTACTTTAACATTTATGACTTATGACATTCCTAGCTTTAAGACTGATTGTGGAACAGGGCCATGTTACCATATTTGACGTAATAAGCGCCCTGCTCTAATAAGCGCCCATGGCTATATTGCTAATATATTGGCAAGTGAACAATCCCAATAAGCGCCCCTTCTGATTGACCAGTGTGCACAAAACTTACTTATTTGTGTATAATATGCAGTCTAGAACAATATGCACCCTTAATTATAGGCAATTAAATCCTGGAAAAATATATCTCTTGTGCAAAATAGGCACACAGACTTTTCTTTAACACCATTTCAGGCTGTCGGTATAAATGTCTGTCATGATCCGTCATCTTAAAGAGAATAACAAATGTTATTGAATTACGCAAGTTAACCCTTTTGTTTCAAAGTTTCATTCAATAATGTTTACATTAATTTTGGCGAAATCGTGTGTCCCTCCGATACTTACAACTTCTGATAGGGCCCAACAGCGCCAACTCATTTATTCAATGCAACAATGATAATATTTTCTTCTGTTTCATTCTTGACTAATCTACACATCAAGATAAACATGTGTCACGGTTATCTCACAATGAGAAAATATCTCAAAACGGGAAAAACTATTTCAATTCGCATAGTTTTCCTTTGTTTACATCACATGCTGTCATCAAAGTACTGAGAAGAGGTATCTTTGATCACGGTCACTTTGATGCATAAATATATATTGTCGCGCACCTCACAGTCACAGTTTTAGTAGCATATTTATATAATTATGCAAAACAATATGTAAAGCGCCAGTGTGTTTCAGGTAAGTGATATAAGGTAATATTTGAAAATCACGAAGTGCATGTTCATATTTAATTTTTCAACTTTACCTGTTGATTACCTGCACTACGTGTTTTGAACAATGGCCTTGACAATCTTTTTTACTCATCGTAAATGTATAGCTGCGTTATCACAAATACGTAGATATGTAAGATAATACGTGCAAGCTGTATTTGTTTGTTGTTTATCGCTATAATCAGAAATATTCCAGCAATATGACAGTGGTCTGTAAATAATCCAGTCTGGATCAGACAATCCAGTGATTAACATCATGATCATCAATCAACGCAATTGGGATACGATGACATGTGTCATCAACCAAGTCAGCAAGCCTGACCACCCGATCCTGTTAGTCACCTTTTACGCAAGCAAGGGTTGCTGAAGACTTATTCTACCCTGGATCTTCACGGGTCAGTATTCTTTGTAAGAGACATATATATAATGGACAAATACTGAGAGCGTTCGTTTTCTGCATTCGCCAAACCATGAAATTTACGATATTTCAATTTTGATTGTTTCCGTCAAAGTTATATTCTAATAAGTGCCCCCTATTTCTAGTTTTGAGATCATCCTAGGCGCTTATTAGGTCGTGAGTGAGTGAGTGAGTATGATTAATTTAGATATGATGAAAAAAGAATCATGCCTTGAGTTGGTCCATCCATTTAGATCACCAATCCATCCACTATCCCTTTTAACAAACCAATAGTTTGCGCTCCCTATTACAAGTCATCTGATGAAGATACATGTACTGGGAAACATTTAGCCCAGAGTTTCTATAAGTCCTCAAATAAGAAGATATGCACATATTAATACATGTAAGTAGAAAAGAAATCATTATCATGATAATCCAACAAGACCCAGTATTTAGTGTACCTTGAGGCCAGTTGCTGTAAACACGTTCTGTGATTTCTGCTGCTGAATCACTCGGAGAGAACAAGTACTCCTCTGTTTTTCCACTCACAAGAATCAACCGCAAGTTTATCTGAAACATCAAGAAAGAGAAACAACTTATACAAAAGTCACAAGAATTTACAAAAATCACAATTTATCCATCCTAAAGATTTGTAAGCTTAAAGTGTGTCACAGCCTGTCAAACATTGTCTGACTATCATTAGTTTTATGTTGTTGCTGTTGTTTAATGCCACACTCAGCAATATTCTAGTCATATGATCCAATCTGCCCACCTGATCCATTTTGTCGCTTTGTATGACCAGCATGTTGATGGGGACCTATTCTAACCCAGAATCCTCCATGGGGAGACCAGCATAGGTTGCTGGGGACCTATTCTAACCCAGAATCTCCATGGGGAGACCAGCATAGGTTGCTGGGGACCTATTCTAACCCAGAATCCCCATGGGGAGACCAGCATAGGTTGCTGGGGACCTATTCTAACCCAGAATCCTCCATGGGAAGACCAGCATAGGTTGCTGGGTACATATTCTAACACAGAATCCTCCATGGGGAGACCAGCATAGGTTGCTGGGGACCTATTCTAACCCAGAATCCTCCATGGGGAGACCAGCATAGGTTGCTGGGGACCTATTCTAACCCAGAATCTCCATGGGGAGACCAGCATAGGTTGCTGGGGACCTATTCTAACCCAGAATCCCCATGGGGAGACCAGCATAGGTTGCTGGGGACCTATTCTAACCCAGAATCCTCCATGGGGAGACCAGCATAGGTTGCTGGGGACCTATTCTAACCCAGAATCCCCATGGGAAGACCAGCATAGGTTGCTGAGGACCTATTCTAACCAAGAATCCCCATGGGGAGACCAGCATAGGTTGCTGGGGACCTATTCTAACCCAGAATCCCCATGGGGAGACCAGCATAGGTTGCTGGGGACCTATTCTAACCCAGAATCCCCATGGGAAGACCAGCATAGGTTGCTGGGTACATATTCTAACCCAGAATCCCGATGGGGAAACCAGCATAGGTTGCTGGGGACCTATTCTAACCCAGAATCCTCCATGGGGAGACCAGAATAGGTTGCTGGGGACCTATTCTAACCCAGAATCCCCCATGGGAAGACCAGCATAGGTTGCTGGGGACATATTCTAACCCAGAATCCCCATGGGGAGACCAGAATAGGTTGCTGGGGACCTATTCTAACCCAGAATCCTCCATGGGGAGACCAGCATAGGTTGCTGGGGACCTATTCTAACCCAGAATCCCCATGGGAAGACCAGCATAGGTTGCTGAGGACCTATTCTAACCAAGAATCCCCATGGGGAGACCAGCATAGGTTGCTGGGGACATATTCTAACCCAGAATCCTCCATGGGGAGACCAGTATAGGTTGCTGAGGACCTATTCTAACCCAGAATCCCCATGGGGAGACCAGCATAGGTTGCTGGAGACATATTCTAACCCAGAATCATCCATGGGGAGACCAGCATAGGTTGCTGAGGACCTATTCTAACCCAGAATCCCCATGGGAAGACCAGCATAGGTTGCTGAGGACCTATTCTAACCCAGAATCTCCATGGGGAGACCAGCATAGGTTGCTGGGTACATATTCTAACACAGAATCCCGATGGGGAGACTAGCATAGGTTGCTGGGGACCTATTTTAACCCAGAATCCTCCATGGGGAGACCAGCTTAGGTTGCTGGGGACCTATTCTAACCCAGAATCCTCCATGGGGAGACCAGCATAGGTTGCTGGGTACATATTCTAACCCAGATTCCCCATGGGGAGACCAGAATAGGTTGCTGGAGACCTATTCTAACCCAGAATCCTCCATGGGGAGACCAGCATAGGTTGCTGGGTACATATTCTAACCCAGATTCCCCATGGGGAGACCAGAATAGGTTGCTGGGGACCTATTCTAACCCAGAATCCTCCATGGGGAGACCAGCATAGGTTGCTGGGGACCTATTCTAACCCAGAATCCCCATGGGGAGACCAGCATAGGTTGCTGGGGACCTATTCTAACCCAGAATCCCCATGGGAAGACCAGCATAGGTTGCTGAGGACCTATTCTAACCAAGAATCCCCATGGGGAGACCAGCATAGGTTGCTGGGGACATATTCTAACCCAGAATCCTCCATGGGGAGACCAGTATAGGTTGCTGAGGACCTATTCTAACCCAGAATCCCCATGGGGAGACCAGCATAGGTTGCTGGAGACATATTCTAACCCAGAATCATCCATGGGGAGACCAGCATAGGTTGCTGAGGACCTATTCTAACCCAGAATCCCCATGGGAAGACCAGCATAGGTTGCTGAGGACCTATTCTAACCCAGAATCTCCATGGGGAGACCAGCATAGGTTGCTGGGTACATATTCTAACACAGAATCCCGATGGGGAGACTAGCATAGGTTGCTGGGGACCTATTTTAACCCAGAATCCTCCATGGGGAGACCAGCTTAGGTTGCTGGGGACCTATTCTAACCCAGAATCCTCCATGGGGAGACCAGCATAGGTTGCTGGGTACATATTCTAACCCAGATTCCCCATGGGGAGACCAGAATAGGTTGCTGGAGACCTATTCTAACCCAGAATCCTCCATGGGGAGACCAGCATAGGTTGCTGGGTACATATTCTAACCCAGATTCCCCATGGGGAGACCAGAATAGGTTGCTGGGGACCTATTCTAACCCAGAATCCTCCATGGGGAGACCAGCATAGGTTGCTGGGGACCTATTCTAACCCAGAATCCTCCATGGGGAGACCAGCATAAGTTGCTGGGGACATATTCTAACCCAGAATCCCCATGGGGAGACCAGCATAGGTTGCTGGGGACAAATTCTAACCCAGAATCCCCATGGGGAGACCAGCATAGGTCGCTGGAGACATATTCTAACCCAGAATCCCCATGGGGAGACCAGCATTGGTTGCTGGAGACATATTCTAACCTGGAATCTCCATGGGGAGACCAGCATAGGTTGCTGGGGACATATTCTAACCCAGAATCCCCATTGGGAGACCAGCATAGGTTGCTGGGGACATATTCTAACCCAGATTCCCCACTGGGGAATTATCCCAAGTAATATGTTTATTTGTGTTTTTGTAACACTGAAACAAAAACATCTTAAGAACTCCATGCAAGTCTATAATAACAGTTCAAAGGCAAATACAGATTCTATAGTCACCTTTCTATCACATATGTACAAAGGACAATCAAATCATCTTATCCTTAAACTATTTTCATTTCACTGAGTAAGACTATTGTAACTCTATCATTCTTTACAGTTCAAAAATGGTGGAGTACCCTGGTGTTAAAACAAATCTTGTCACACTGAAGACGGGGTTTGATTCCCTGAACGAGTACAATGCATGATGCCCATTTCTGGCATCTCCTGCTGAGATAATGCTGGCCAATACTGAAAATGGCGTAAAAACATACTCACTCACTCATGAGTTGACATCATATAACCATACTCTAACTCATACAGTTGACATCCTATGTGGCATGTTTGACAGGGTTCAGTATTTAGAAACACTCATTAATCCAAAAAGAATTACACCTTTGCTTCAACCCAGTCTTCTACCATACATGACCAGATTATAAATTTTACCTTCAAATATTGTTAAACAAACTTTTAGTGAAGTTACCATGGTTACAGTAATGTACACCGCTGAACACAATAAAAGACAATAAATTTCTTCATATTTTAATGTTTTATGTGGACACAGGCACAATCAGCACGATAAGTGAAAAGTCAAGAGGGCTAGTCATTTTCTCCCAAAATGTAGTAACATTACATTGAAAACCTAATAATTGTGGACTATCTGGAGATATCTAGTGCGTCGATCATTAGCCATTAGGCCTATTTATTTCATAATGGTTACTAAAGCTTGATATTGTCCAGCTGCTTCATTAGGCCTGGGTAAAGCATGAGCAGAATTTTCCACAGGCCTGAACACATTTTGAAATCAGCAATTACTGAGTGACATGCATATACCATGAATACCACATAGTTTAAAACCTCAGAGGCATCTTTTGTTTTCTAGAGCAATGTATGCGAAAAGGTGAATATCCTTAGATCGGCTCACACGTTACTAATTGATTAATCCACTTGATAAGAGCAAATAGCAATACCTTATTCCCATATAACTTACAAAGAAGTACCATCAAAGTACATGTTAACATGGTTAATATGTTCATCATTATCTAATTACTTGATTAAGATTGATACATGCATACAAATTGAAATATTTATCGAGTATCGAACACCCAAACTGGACACATAATGCCATGCCATTTATGGCAAATGCTGTATCAGGCAGTATACTATATGTTGAAAAGAAAGATAATTTATAGCATCTTAAACAACTATTTCAAATATGAATAAGCATTGCGTGTGTGTGTGATGTGTGTAAAATTCACAACACATCTGATGTCCATAACCTGATAACAACTGTAACAATATACATCATATAAAGGAAATATGTTGTAATAGGTATTTTGGAGGAAGAATTCTTCAAGAAGTCATAATCATGAAACGGTATGGGATAAAATTGTATTTCAAATAAACATGTTTACATCAATTAATGTTAATTAGTTATAGATACACTGACAAATAACGTCACAATTGGTCCTTGTTCAACATATCACCTTCCAAATCACAAAATAAGAATGATCGTACATATACTGTTATCAAACATCACCAATAAAACAGAATTCATGAGAAACGGGCACCTGACAGCCAGCTAGTCACGGTTTATTTTGATGTTGACAAAAACAAACAATGCAAAATATACGATGAATTCTTCGACATACCTTGTCGTTGGGTATTTGTCGACTGCCCATTGTCTTCAAATAATGTCCAAGAAAACAAAAAGCACTGAACGTGATGTGAAAGATAAAGAAAAATTAATTTTTACACATGACACTAAAGAAATTTCATTTAGGTGTCAAGTCGACTACACCCATGAAAAATTCCTTCCTCGTAGATCTGGGCCGAAGCGGACCATTTTCACTTGGCTAATCCTGTCTGTGAAACATTAACCCAGCGAATTATCAATGAAAATAGGCACCCTGATCTTTTGATCAAGTGGGTAGAGGGGAAATGTAATTAGTCTTTTTGCCCGAAAAGGTTTCTGATGTTCGCTGTTATGGCGGTGGGCAATGGATTGTGGGTTCAGATATCTACGTCACTGGAATACTTCCGGCTTCTGGATAGCAACTAGATGAAAACAACTGCTAATAAATACATAGACACATTTATATCAGTTCAACTAAGAACTTTTCTGGATAAAACAAATAGAACTAATGAATAATATACTCATTTAATTTAATTAAATTGTAACTTTCAGTTTTCATATATGACAAAACAGTGTTAGAACACTCCTTTTGATATTTGTTGTTAATATGTCTAATAGAAAGTAGTATGTAATTTGCAGGCTAAGGAAACTTCAGAAGTTCAGAAGCTGGATAATGAACCAATTAACAATGCAAACACTAATCTGGAGTTAATTAGTAAGTGGCAATTAACAAAGCGGTAGCTGATTTAGCTCCCGAAGTTATGTGGGTATTGACAATGAATATGCATCACCATTAGTGCAATTAAACCACCCTCAGTCTTACGTCGGCTGCTTGCCGTCTTGAGTTCTTTTGTTTTGTCCTGTCAAAACGTAAACACCTTGGAATTGAAGCGACTAAAAATAAAAGTTCCCAATATGCTGCTTCTTTCTGTGATAAGGACATAGTTTGGAACTACGAAATCATTCCATTCTTTCTCAGATTAGTATGTTTAGTTACACCCGTACGTTTGTTGAGAATAAGAAAATTCAATTCTGACCTAACAAAATATTTCTTTTGAATTGACATCTGTTACAATAGCCTTATATGCCTACATTATGTCTAGATCCAAACGTGACCGTTATCATACATTGCTGTTTTATCTAACAACATAAGACAAATTGATTTGTTTTGATTTGTGCTTATGATCACAGAGCTCCAGATAAGCTTTTGGTGTTATGGGTATTTTACCCATGCATTTTAAAATCATTGGGTATCAGTGATTCTATCTGCGTATTCAAATTTCTGTTACCCACTAGTTTTTACAGATGTGGGTATTTAAGTTAAATATTTAAAAACACTATTCATCTAGTCCCTGCAAACTGGTGTCGTGTGGGTTCGAGAGCTTTATAGGACTCAAAAATACCACGATACTTCCACAAGAAAGTGTGATGGCAAATGATCATGATGTAACTGTCATCGTGGAGTTTGGCAAGGTTGACGGAATGCCCGTTTATAATTTCGAAAAAAGTTGCTGATTTGCTAATCGAATACAGAGGTTACTTCACAATATTTTGATGATGTGCACAAGTTTTATTTTTGTAGCGTATCTGTAATGTTTGTTGCGTATTTGATACGCTTGGATTATATTTTACTGCATATTTCTGCATTTCTGATGCGTATTTCACGCAGATACGCAGCTTATCTGGAGCTCTGGATCATTTCTTGCAATTTGAAAGTTAAGATTGAAAGTTTATTTGTAATAGAACTGTAAATCTACTCCAAAACAATGTTATTGCATAGCAGACAAAAGATCTGCTTCCTTTATTTTTTGCATATTCGCCACTGTGCTTCAAACACCATTGGAAGAAATCATCTAAATGAAAATTATTGTGATCAGTTTTTGGAAGACATTCAAACATCTGATAATATCAAAGTAGGAAGACCTATTTTGTTGTTACTCATCTTCGGAGATCTTTCACTTTTATGTGTATTGCCCACTGATTATTCTGAAATATTATCTGCTTTTATTTGTTAAGATCATCTGAGAAAGAATGCTTTTGATCAAACATATTCAATTTGTCATGTTTTGTCATCAATTGATTATTGTTTGTTCACACAGACGATCAATCGTCAAATTTTAAATTTCCCACCTCTTAGCTGCACAACAGGCATCGTCAATCCTTCACAGGTTTAGTTTACACTGTTTGTCCATCACCTGTGAATACATACAATCATATGACATGAGTCTACAGTACTGTGGAACCCTACCACTACCTGATATTGAAGCCAGTGTGTGTCTAGTAAACTGATGTTAATTTCGAACACTGATTTGTAGAGCAGATAGCCAAGCGACTGTGATACATGTTCCACAAGAAATACTGCAGTTTGTGAGATGTAACCTCAGTGGTCATTGGTTTGAACATAAGCTGTTTTCCCTCTTGTTGGAACAGGTTCTTTGCTTGATTTATAGGAAATAGATTGCATCTACACAGAAATGCAGTAAGAATTATTCACGGATGATTGAGGAATGTAGTGTATGCAAAGCCATGAAGTACTGATGATGCACAATGGGAGGATTTGTAACTTTAGCTACAGGTCAGCCGATTCCAAAATGTAGTATAATGTATAAGTCTAGGAAACCTTTTTAATGATTGTCCATTTGCTCAGATCTCTGGCTCTGCTTGTCTAGTTTGATCAAGAACATCTCTATTTGGCAACCTTTTATGTCACCAGTAACACCAAAACATGGTTTACATTTGGCTACTTTGTGTTATCATGCTGATTCTAGTGGTACTTACATTTAATATTTCAGTAGCAATCCCATTGTTTATGCTTGCAAGTTTTTGTCTTTGAAATAAAACTCAGCCTATTCCTAATAAGGTCAGTCTTTGCCCAAACATTTTGCTACTGCTAGCCTGAATTTGGATCTTAGCATCATTTTCAGTTGTAGCTGAGTTTACTCGGCTGAACAGAATTTTACTAGACTCTGGCTTAAGACTAGTGATAAAGTCGCAGTACTGTTAGATAACATCCCAGAATCGGTCTGATTATGATTCTTGGGTTGTCAGCACCATACCTGTGCTAATCGGGCTCAACAAGTAGTAAACATCTACGACCTGCATCACTTTGGCCTTTCTTCTCTCATTAAGCTGTCACGCTGTGATATAACTGAAATACTGATCAACACTATGTGGGGGCACGGGTGGCCAAGTCTTCTCAGGTGCCACAAATTGCTGTGCAGAGTTGTGTCCCTTGGGCACACCAGAAACCTAGGACCGTGGGTTCTTATCCTAGTTCACCCTGATTATGTTTCTAGGTTTGTCAGCACCATACCTGAGCTCGTAGCTTTCACCAAAGTGGTAAACATCTGAGACCTGCATCACTTAGGGCTTTCGTCCTAAATCAAGCTTACATGCCGTGATATAACTGGAATACTGTAGCATTAAACTGAAAACCCAATCCCCCAACCAACCAACCAACCAACCAACCAAAACACACCCAGCCACTCACTCACCCAGCCACTCACTCATTCACTCACTCACTCACTCACTCACTCACTCACTCAAAGCTAAATTAAGCACAACTCATGATAGATAATAGGATACAATGTTTAATGTTTGAGTGTTTATACTAACTCAGAAAATGGTAGTTCAGTGTATATTTCAACATCTGATTTGTTTTTGTCAGATATATCCAGCATGTCTACTTCACTGACTGCTGCTGAATCGAGGATGTCTGAACAGAAGATGCTGGACCTGCCAGTGGATCAGTGAGTACTGTGGACAAAACATTTGTGTATCATTTCTGTAGAGGCTACTTTTGCCCTTTCTGTTTGTTATGTTTCTTATCTCACCGTCACAAAATTACAACATGTTGGGTTTCCAGGTTAGATTTTCTGTTTGTTTGTTTGTATGTTCGCTGTTTAACACTGCAAGCTATATGAGCATCGATCTACGTATCTGAGTTAGGTGAAATTGGGTTTAACATCTTGTCCAAGATTTTTGAACTTATATAGCAACATGCATGCATGTGTGTGTATGTCGCTGCTTGTACTAATCTGGACTGATTCCGATTTTATTGTTCTAGCCCACTGAGATACCATGGCAAGCTTAACATGAATACACCACTCAGACTCCAAGGCGACCAGTCCTTGTTTTAACCTCTTAATGTCGAGCGCCAACAACAAGTACCATCTTTTAACGTCTTTCGGTATGATGCGTCCGGGGACCAAATCCCCAACCTTCCACTTTCCAGGTGGATGCTCTACCACTAGACCATGGAAGCTGTCCTGTGCAGCATCAACCAAGCCTGCGAGCCTACCACATCCTATCAGTCGCCTCTGACGACAAGCATGGGTTACCGTCGACCAATTCAAACCCGAATCTTCACATGTATCCAGGTTACAATCGGTCCCGAGTAACTTATACTCGTCACAAGAGGCGACTAAGTGGGTTGGGTGGTCAGACTAAGTGACTTAGTTGGTTGCGTGTTATTATACCGACATGGCACCTAAGTGGAAAACATGATTTTGGTTTTTGTCCCACATTAAGGCAGCATGATGTGATGGAACTGCAATAAATTTTAATGAGTGTAAACCCAATTCACTCTTTGGTTGGTTGGTTTGTTGTTTAACGCCGCACTCAGCAATATTCCAGCTATATGACGGCGGTCTGTAAATAATCAAGTCTGGACCAGACAATCCAGTGATTAATATCATGAGCATCGATCCACACAATTGGGATCGATAACATGCACCAACCAAGTTAGCGAGCCTGACCACCTGATCCCGTTAGTCGCCTTTTACGACAAGCATAGTCGCCTTTTACGGCAAGCATGGGTTGCTGAAGATCTATTCTACCCCGGATCTTCACGGGTCTCACTCTTTGGCTTCATGTAAAAATGCAAGATGACCCAGTGTATATTTATGATATACATACCCTTGATCCATATACCACCAAGGCTTCATTTCCTTCGTGATGTCACAATCTCGATCTCCCGTATTGCTGACTTAGTACAGTATTGTTGCTGAATAGTTTGAAATAAACAACCAGTCAAGATTACTCTTTTTTTTCAAGAGTTTGTCATAGATCTACATTCAAAATAGTGGCTTTGTTGGAGTAAGTCCTAGATATATTTAAAATATGAGGGACGGCTAAAAAGTTCTGAGAATGACTATAATGGACTGTGTTGATACAGTTGGTTGCTAATTATTTTTCAACATAATCCACTCGGAAGTCCACCTACTTTTATTAAGGATGCTGGAGAGTTTGATCCCACTGGGGTAGAAGAAGGAGACCTTAGATGTTTCCACTGCTTTGACTGTTGTTTAGTCTCTGGCTAATAGTTGTGAACCCAAGACTCAATCATGGTTACAAACTGCTCAACAAAATCCTTTGTGTCTGCTTCTCACGAGAGATAATGAACCTGATTAGGAGTCAGAAGCCTTGGAGTGAGTGAGTGAGTTGGGTTTAATGCCGCTTTAAAAAGTATTCCAGTTATATCACGGCGTGTCAGCTTAATGTGGGAGGAAAGCCCGAAGTGATGCAGACGTTTACCACTTCAATGAGACCCACGAGCACGGGTATGGTGCTGACAAACCAAGAAACATATTCGGGGCGAACTTGCAAAAGCCTTGGAACCCAGCTTGCTGAAACCTTTGTCATGCACATTTCATTCCTCAGAGGTCGGTCGGGTAGCCTAGTGTTTAAAGTGTTCGATTCCCGACATGGGTACAATGTGTGAAGCCCATTTCTGGTGTCCCCCCGCCGTGATATTGCTGGAATATTGCTAAAAGCGGCGTAAAACCAATTCTCTCACTCATTCCTCAGAATGTTCCCATCTCTCTCATGAGAGAGTACTGTGATGGCCATGGGATGTGTGGTGTGTTGTCGATCATCCGTAATCAAAGCATTTTGTCAACATTTTTCTTGGTGGCGTTTAAAGGTCTTCCTGATCTTGGATCATCTTCGATGCCTCTTCCCCTCTTGAACTCCACTGCCCATTTGTTAACAGTGGCAAGGGAAGGAGCATAAGCTCCTTGTGTTGACACCATGTCCTGGTGGATGACTGTTGGAGTTAGTGCTTTCAGTTGGAGATGCTTGATGACAGAGCGGAAACCAAATTTGTCCCTTTTCATCAACAGAGAATACCTTGTCACTTTGATGCCTGCAGAAATATCCTTGACACTGGTGTATTTGGTTCAAATGCATCCTGTAAGCATGGAAAGTCTTGCACGTAATACATGCAAACTGTTTAGGGTGTACTATACATCCTTTGCCGTTAACCATGGAAATTTTCTGCCACCTCTCACAAAGGATGTTACTACAAATCAAAATGAACTTCCAGGTGAAAAAATGCATTCTGAGTATTAATGCAGAAGTTTGAAACTTCAATGTTGATGGAAGCTCAGGGTCCAAAAGACGGGGATCTGAAATTACCTGCAGTTTTATTAGCTATTCGGACAACTCCAAATAAAATGACAGACAGTGGTGATTGGGCACAGTGCATGTGACAAAATGGATGTGCCATTGCAGTCAGGCATAATGCCAGAAGCATCCAGATCGTAACAGCTGGTGAATCTGCAGCATGGATTGAAAGAGAAGATTATGAAGGAAGTTGGTGAACGAAATGAGTCTCAACTTGAACACATCAGCTTCACTCCTTTCCAAGAAGGGGAGAAGGTTTGGGTACACCACCCTAAACATGTAAGTAGGACTAGAATAAAACTTGCATCTGAGAGATAGGAAGGCCCTGTCATCGTTAAAACTAAGGGAAAACAACATACCATATTCGACATAATAAGCGCCCAGGGCGCTCTCAAAATTAAAAAAAAGGGGGCTCTTATTAGAATATTATTTTGGTGAAAAAAGACAGAGATGAAAGATAAATTTCGTGGTTTATGGTGACAGCCTGAAATGTTTATGTACGACATATATATTTCCCCAGAATTTTATTGCCCATAATTAAGGGTGCATATAACACACGAGTGTGTATTATACGCAAATAAATAAGTGTTGTGTACATTGATCAATCGGAAGGGGTGTTAATTGGGATTGTTCACCAGCCAATATATCAGCAAATATCTCCGTCGGCGCTTATTAGAGCGGGGTGCTTATTACGTCGAATACGGTATAAGATTCTTCCTTGTCAGGACTGGTAGATCTCTTGTGATTATTAACAGATGACTGAAGAAACACTTTGCATGACCCCCATCATGTGGACAATGAAGATAGACAGTGCCTGAGGTGAAACAGCTTGATGCAGGTTGGAGCAGGTTAATTCTCGAACTGTGTCACTGAATGTTGATACTGGCTCCAACATGAGATCAGTGATAACACTTTAGTACCGGGACTTGATGATGACAGTGTGGTGGTGTCGAGTTGCCACAATCTGTGTGGAGACATTCTACAAGAATCAGACAAGTGCCAAAATGGCAAAGTGATGATGATCATGTTCTTGTAGATGCTATTGCTTAGGAACATGCCAGCATTGCTTTGTTTTATAAAGTGTTAATACCTAAATATTGTTACTGTTAATACTGAGTGAGTGAGTATTTGAACAGTATTTATGTTACATCATGGCGTGTCGGCTCAATGTGGGAGGAAAGCCCGAAGTAATGCAGGTCCCAGACGTTACCACTTTGGTGAAACGGGTATGGTCCTGACTAGGGCTGCAACGAATACACTATGAGGCGAATACGATTCGTATCATGAATATATGGTAATGAATACGAATACAATAACAAGTCAGTAGTTGATGTATTATTTATGATATTCAGTGAAACAATAAAAAAAATAATTATTTGACATGGTTTGTTAATTATTGATTTATTATACATTCATATACTGCACTTACCCAGGTACTAGTATCTGCTCAAATGCAACAATGACCAGTGACTTCAATACTGTAAAATTAAATATAAAAGAGTGTTGTCTTTGAAGAAATCTATGCATATAATATGTTCTTATGGATATTTTAAGGGTCAGGGTATGTAAATGCACATGACTGCATATTCATAAATAATCGATTTTAGTGGCCACGAATAACAAATTCAATTCATGAATGGTACGGTTCAATTCACCGAATACGCGAGTGAATCGTAACAGCCCTAGTGCTGACAAACCTAGAAACATTATCAGGGCGAACTGGGATTCATACACTCAATCATAGATTTCTGACGTGCCCAAGGGATGCAACTCTTCAAGCATATTGTGGCTCCTTAGATGACTTGGCCTTCCGTGCCCCCAACTGTAAATACTGAAATGTTCCAATTTAAAAACTTAACCGAAATACAGTAAAGTACGGTTATAACGAACTCAAGGGGACTACTAATTTTAGTTCGTTATAACCGTAGTTCGTTATAATCATATATACAGCATAACTACAGCAACTAGTCGGGACCAAAAAGTAAGTTCGTTATATCCGTAAGTTCGTTATAAGCGTGTTCGTTATAACCGTAGTTTACTGTACTGAAACTGAACAATTTAGGCCTTCGTGGACCTGTGATATCAGTCGTTACTTCCCCCACAGAGATCAAAAGTTCATGTAACAATATATCATGTAATTTGATTGGATGGCTATTATTTAATGTTCTCCATTTGAACTGAACTCCAAGCGAAACTGTGGTGGCAAATGTTAATCATAATGGAATGGAGATATGATACACTGGATAATTTAAGGATGGAATGCAATCCAATTTATATTTTATAAGAACTTTTTTCTTGTAAAAAAAAAAAGCATGTTTCCCCTAGTTTCTACATGATAAACAGCCCTCATCAGATATGCATGACCACACGATAATTGAGTTATTGTGCTGCAAATTATCATGTTGGACACGGACACACCATCTGTGTTCAGAGTATGCTTCAACAGGATTCTGTTTTTATTACCGACATTATAGAAAAATGTTTATTTTCAACTATATGTATTATGTATGTTATAAAGTAAAATCTGCATGGGCAATAAGCTTTAAGTGGTTCCAATGTATTCAGGTGTCAGTGTGTTTCAAACAAGTCATCAATAAGCTGCGTATTTGCACAAAACTCACCATTACCCAATTACTTTTGAATTGCTTGTGTACCACTCCTCCTCCATCACCCAATGTGTTGTACATGCATCTCCATTCTGTTAGGGGCGGTCGGGTAGCCTAGTGGTTAAAAGCGTTCGCTCGTCACTTCGAAGGCCCCGGGTTAGATTCCCGACATGGGTACCATGCGTGAAGCTCATTTCAGTTGTCAATGTCAATATCAATGTTGTTGATATTGCTGGAATATTGCTAAAACTAAAAGCGGCGTAAAACCATACTCACTCACTCACTCACTCACTCACTCACTCACTCACTCACTCACTCCATTCTATTATGACAAATAGGCTGGACCTATGCCTCACCATTGCTTCGTGTGAACTGATTTGTATTGCACATTACTAAAATATATATTCATAAATATTAGATTCTAGTGGCCACAAATAACGAATTCAATTCATGAATGGATACGGTTCGATTCACCGAATAGGCGAGTGAATTGTAACAGCCCTAGTGGTCATGCTTAACTGCGACGTGGTATCTCAGTGTGCTAGCACTATAAAACCTGCATGTCCAGACTAGCACAGGCAGCCATACACAGGCATGCACATCGCTATTCAAGTGAAGTAATCTGGAACACGACGTTAAACCCAAAGTCTCCTAATCGACTGTAAATTGGACAAGCTGTTGTGAACTTCCTTATGCTTGGGGCATCACATGAACAGATGCAAATTAGACGTAACCTGAAACATCCCAAAAAAAATTTAAACTGAAAGTGTCTCATCATTGGTTTTATAGATAATATCAAATTTATTGGATCAAACGGAGTAAAATTATATTGAATACCCAAAGAAATCTAGCATTAGAAATAAAGCTAAATCTTTGACCTTCATGTATTCCTGGTTTTGTTGTGTTTCTTCATTTTTCCATTTCCTCAGAAATTACAAATTTGTATGAATGATCCCAGCGATTGTGTCTTTAAAAGTTGTTCACAAAATTCTGATCCAATTTTAAGCATGGCCGCCATTATTTTCTCATATTTCAGGTGAGATTCAGACCCTTATGGCTCTGTTTTTTTAAATCATCTATTGATGCATAGTAAATTTTTAGCACTTTTTTATGTTATGTTACAGAGTTGAAGAAGATGAAGATATTCGGGAAGCAGAACTAGTTGTATTTACTGACTGCTCACATGGATTAGGTAAGTAGCATGGGTGTCACAGAGAAACTTGGTCATGGGTGGCCATTCCTTTCCAGGTCTAGATGACATGATTAGTGCTTGTGGGAAACCGAGACCCTGTCACTGTGTATTTGTGGGAAATTTGTGGTACAAATTTGTATGAATAATCCCAGCTATGGGGTCTCTAAAACTTGTTCACAAAATTCTGATCTGATTATAAGCATGTCCACCATTATTTCCTCATACATGTATGATGTATTTCAAGGTGAGGTTCAGAGCCTTATGGCTATATGTACTTGAATGATCTAATGTCGCTGTGTATTGGTGGTAATCAGCACGTTTACATAGGGCTTTGTGATGTAAAAAACCTTGTAGTGCGATTGTGATATATTGGGAGCTACAGTGATTTCCATGTGAAATTTGCACAGATATCAGTCTAGACATTAACTGGTGCCTTTTGCTATTTTTGAAGTTTTGTAAATTTTATTTTTCTGGTTTCCATGATAACCATTTCGACTTCAAAGGAGGGTAGGTTTTGTTTCAAGAATATAAGCAGGGCTCGATTTAAGGAACTTGATGTAACTTGCACCAGGAAGATGTTGACATTTTAGATGTGATATACCGTATTCGATGTAATAAGCGCCCAGGGCGCTCTCAAAGTTAGAAATTGGGGGCTCTTATTAGAATAATATTTTGTCAAAAAAAACAGCCTGAAATGTTTATATATGAGAGATATATTTTTCCAGAATTTAATTGCCCATAATTCGGGGGTGCATATAACACACGAGTGCATATTATACTCGAATAAATAAGTATTGTGTACATTGATCAATCGGAAAGGGTGCTCATTCGGATTGTTCATGAGCTAATATATTAGCAAATATCGCCGTGGGCGCTTATTAGAGCGGGGCGCTTATTACGTTGAATACGGTAATGTTTCTAAATAGAGCCTTAACCACTCGAAAAGTAAATTGGCTTGTAATTATGTTTCGGAAATTAGCTCCGTTGTACGCATGCTTAAAAAGCTTCATTGCGTGTTTACGTTTGCTGTTTTCAAACAATTGAGTTTTCCATTTAATGCATGCATTTCTGTACGCAAGTTAATTGTAAGTAATTGGCTTTTGAATAGTTTTGGGGGGTATTTTATGCAAATATGCAGCTTATTTCTCCCCACAGTTTGATTATGTCAAGCCCGGGAAAGCATGACAAATTACACATGACACAGGGAGTAGTGACGTATGGTACTTAAACTTTAATGATAATGAGGGGGTGGACAAGTACATAAAGCTTTGTCAGACACAATTTCATTTTATTTCGCATGCACTTAGTGCATGTAGACATAAATATTAGGTTCCAGAGGTCGGGTAGCCTAGTGTTTTAAGTGTTCGCTCGTCACACCGATGACCTGGGTTCTATTCCCGACATGGGTACAATGTGTGAAACCCATTTCTGGTGTCCCCCGCTTTGATAGTGCTGGAATATTGCTAAGAGTGCCGTAAAACCATACTCACTCACTCACATTATATAATTAAATTGAACCCCGATAACTCAAAGATAGTTTAATATTTCTTGATCATAATTTGCAAAGATGTCTTGAGTGCTGCACTCTATATAACAACCATTGGTGGGGGAATGAGAAGCTCATGCTTGTTTCAGTGTAAATTTATATTAAGACATCATAGTTTCATTTTTTTGTCTATTCTTATAAGGCAGGGCATAATAAATGTTCAGACATGATAAAAAAAGTATTCATTTCACTTTTTGACCAGCAAACCTTTGAGTAAGATCCCAACTTCCACACAATCACACATTCACTATCACTAAGCCATCCATCCATCTCGGCCTGGTTGATCCATATCTCAACCAGATCAGGACACTCACAGACCAAGGTTAATGATGCAAGCTTGTTGACTTATTGACCTGGTCTGCTGGCCAGTTTATTGCATAATCAGCAATATATTCAGCAGTTCACCAACCCTTACCCGTAACAGCCGAGCATGGTCATGCTTATGTAACTTCCCCAACTATACAAATAAAACACGCAACAAGTGGCTTACTGATCACTGGGTTACGCATCCACAGATCCCAAATTGCACAAATTTGGACAAAAGTGACAGTTTTTGTTTCTGTGTTAACTTATAAAAAACCAACCCATGTTAGCGCGGTAATGGAAGGGAGGTAACTCTTTCACTGCAAGTTGCATTTTTCTCACTTTTCAAAAGACAAATACTACATATTGATCAAGCATTATCTTGAGTGTTTCAATTGGTCATTGTTCCATGGCTACCAGGTCTCAAGATCTGTGGAGGCTGCAGCCCTGATGGAACGGAGTTGTTTGGCATCTTTGTGAAGAGGATTTTACCAGGAGGCCTGGCGGAGGTTGATGGCAAGTTTACAAGTGCTTGTATTTCATATTTAAGTCAATGGTATTTCATATGTTAACAATATATTACTGTGTATGACTGATGAACTTCAGATAAAAACTGCTGAGATTGTTTGATTTTAGATGTTCTATCATGGTGACTGTTTATGAAATATGGTTTTTTACCCCCCCCTGGCATATAATGCAGGGGGATATATTGTCATCACCTGGTCCGTCTGTCTGTCCATCCGTATGTCTGTCCTGGAGCACAACTTGAAAACTGTAAAAGATTTTTCATCCAAACTGATGTTCTGACACATTTCTTATCCCCCCTGTTTGAAAAAACAGGGTCAGAAAGCTATCAGCATGTCGGTCCATCCGTCAGAGCCAGAGCCAGAGCAGAATTCCTAGACCGTTGAATATTACTTGATGAAACTTGTTATACAGATCAGTCTTGTGGTGCTTTTGATGACTTCAGATTTCTTTTTTTATGGTTTCCTGACACAAGTTGGAGTTTACTGAAAATAAGGCTAGTTATCATTTACGGAGCAGAACTTCAGAACCATTTAATATTACTTGTGGAAACTTGCTATACAGATTAGTCTTGTGGTGAACTGGTGCTTTTCGATTATTTGGGATTTTAAATTTTTTTTATTTCTTTATGTTTTCATGATAAGTTGGACTTAACTGAAAATAAGACTAGTGCTCGTTTCCATAGCAGATCACCAGATCCATTGAATATATCTGAATGAAACTTGATCAGTCTAGTGGTGAACACGTGCCTTTTGATGATTTTTTATTTTTGTTTTGAATATTTATTTTTTTTATGACAACAATTTCATTTGGACTTAGACTAAAAATGAGGGTAGTGCTCATTTCAAGAGCAGAACTCCCAAACTGTTGAATTTTTTTTTATAAAAGTTCCTATTCATATCAGTCTAGTGGTGAACTGGTGCCTTTTGATGATTTGGGATATTGAAAAATACTGAACAGCATTATTTTTCATTGAACTGAATAGGGCTGGGACGATACACCAACATTGTGATCCGATACGTATCACGATACCTTACTCATGATCCGATATGTATCACAATACTTGCATGTGCTCTTATCTGTGGTGCGTAAGCAATCTTTTTCAAGAGAGGATGGCCCAATACTGGCACACTGATGATTTACAGTTAGCAGTGTGAAGTATGGCACAACAAATGAAAATATGTATGTTTTCACTATTAACTTGCACTACTGATTAATGTTTAGTCGAAAGTTATTAAAGCAAATATTTAAGGCCAAAGCGGTATTTTTTACCTAGTGTGCAACTGTGATCGATACTTGTATTGAGAAGTAAAAACTTACGATCCACTGATGCATCGGTGTATCGTCTCACCACTAGAACTGAAGTTATCCAATGGGAATGAACCAAAAGTGTGATATAAGTATCCAAACTCCATTTCTGACTGGCACCAATCTTTCCTAGGCAAGGGAATTTACTGATTATAAAAGTACAGTTTCCATCCTTGCCGAACTTACCTGGAATTCCGGAGTTTGGGCTGGACTAACGAGTCTATGCATAGTCCAGTCAAAATCGCATAGTCCAATCAAAATCGTGTAACGAACTAGGCATCCTGTTCGTGAATAACATGGATTTCAATGTGTAGATTTCGGTCGACTGCAGGATTTGCAAAGCACGTGCACTGTCAACTGCAAATCTTTTCATGTTTTTAATGAAGGTGCTCAAGTAATTTGATGCACTTTGTGGGGTAAGACCCGTTCTTTTATACTACAGATCTGGATTATTGATCAGATTGTCTTGACTGGGCGGCGCCGTTTTATTTAAAACAAATGCAAGTGATATGAGATTAGGAATCTGATTGGTCAATAGGAGAGATATAGAAGGGACATAACTCGAAATAACCCATGTTGGGGCTACAGTCGAGCCTGGAAATTAGTGAACTCCCTTGCCTCAGGAAGATGACTTGTTCCAGACTGGGGGGATGTGTCATCCCCCGATCACACTTATTAAAATTTGAAAAAACACACCAAACCATCAATTTGGAATATATTTGTCTTGTACTTTAGTGACCTGTATGCATGCAAATGTCTTGTGCTCAATAACCTGTATCTGTATAAACCTTGAAAAGAATTGGAAATACCACAAAAGAAGAAAGTATATATCGTTTTGTGACTGTTCATAGGCAGTTTACAAGAAGGGGATCAGCTGTTGACAGTGAATGGAGAAAGTCTAGAGGGTGTCACTAATGATACAGCTCTAGCTGTTCTGAGACACGCCGCCGCGTCGAACCGAGTCGAAATGATATTTACACGGGATGAGCAAGCAAGGTAAAGTTGATTTCTATTTTTTGGCTTCCTTATTCTTACCTGCTGTTTTTGCCATTGAAATTTTGGAATTTGAATCATGGTCAATATGATGAAACAGTGGTACATACTGAGACTCAGTGAGAGTCTTCATAGGCATTTAGAAGTTGGATTTATCATGACAAGCAGTGGTATAGATAACAGCTTCTGTATTATGCATACACAAATTTCCAGGGCTACTTGAAATGCATGCTTTGAAATCATATACTGTTTAAAACCTACCTGCGATGATATATGTTGTACGAAACCTGTGACTAGTGTTCTTTAGCAAAATTACTGAGTGCCAACATTTAACATTGAAGAAGTAGCCCTGAAATGCTATGTACTCCATGGTGTGTTCAATAAATAAGTTGTTATCCATAATATCTCTTGTCCTGGTACGTACTGGTATCAAGTTTATTTGTTGATGTTGTGTGAAGCTTTTGTCAAGGAAATGGTTCATATTGTCAGGCTTTAAATTCTTTTATTAGAGTACCAATGTTAAAATGATAAAGGGACAGTTCCTGGTGCCTAAAGGGCACCCTTAGAAGTCATATCCTGTTTAAAAACTACCTTCGATGATATATATTGTGCAAAGCCAATCATAGGTGTTCTCTAGCAATATTTTGAGTGGGAACATTTAAAATGAATACACAAACATGCTAATGCAAAGTGGATAAACAATAAATATAACACATTAAACAAACCTGGGGATATGGAATTTGATTAGGATGATATCAGTTTCAATGAAAAGGAAGAAGGCAGACTTCTAGATTACAACCACTTACAGTTAAGTTCATGTTTAAATGAGGGCGGTCAGGTAGCCTAGTGGTTAAAGCATTGCTTGTCACGCTGAAGACTCCAGTTCGATTCCCGACATGGGTACAATGTGTGAAGCCCATTTTCTGGTGTCTCCCACCATGATATTGCTGGATTAGAGTGGCGTAAAACCATACTCACTTGTTTGCAATACATGTAAAATGCAGTGTGTATCACACTTCAGTGCAATCTAATGATGAATCTGTCAAAAGGCCAAGATAATCCTTTTACATTTCTGCAAGAGGTGTCCTAATGCACTATCTTGTGTCTCCCCAATGGTGCATACTTTAGTGGTGGCAGCCTTCTAAGTTCCTATTTTTGTTAGGGAGGCAAGTGGCTCCAAACATGAATATTTTAGGAGCCAACCTAAGTTTTTAGGAGCCAACATATATCTTTAACAGATATCATCACCAGTTATGTTGACTTTTAGTAGCCAAGTGGCGAGCAGTCGATAAATTTAGGTTCCCGTTATTAGATCTAAGTGGCATTTGGCGACCAAAATGGTCGTTACTTAGAGGACTGGGTGGTAGACTCTGAATATTGTTGATAGCTTTAACAAATTTTGTTATAGGTTTACTAACAACAGTTTTAAAACTGAACATGTCAACAAAACCTTGTAAGTTTGATAAGAAGGTTGAAACCCTTTTAGAGTTGAATAACGATGAACCAATTTTTTATTTAACTCAAGTTTAAAAACACATGTATAGCCAATCTGTGGACTTTCGGAAACATTTGACGATATCTTTTGTTATCTTTTGCAGAGATGAATACACACTGTATTCGGAAAAGCACAGTGGTCGCAGTTCACTGATTGCTGATGCTTCCTTTGCTAATGGTGCTGCAGGCGCAGAGGAGTTATCAGGAAGTCAGAAAGGTACTGAAACAGTACATAGTTACAGGATCTTTGGACAGGATATGCCCCTTGTAACTTGTGACAGTAGAGTAGCCTTGTGGTTCAAGTGTTTGCTTCTCATGCTAAAGGACCAGGTTCAAATCCCACATGGGTACCTTTGTACAACATATATACAGCAAATGGACAAAGAAATAGTTTGTTATATCTGCCAGCTCGTTATAAATGTGTTTGTTATAAACATAGTTTACTGTATAATATTTATTTGGGGAATTCTGACTGCCAAAAAATACAGCATCACAATTATATCCGTGGATATTTATATATCTTGCCATTTCAGAGTGCCATGGCATCTACACCCAAAAGGGAGTACCATCTAAGGAATATTTGTTGTTCAATGTGGGTTTTGTTTCATTAACATGGACATTTCCACATTAAAGGGGTAAAGAAATGGACCATAAATATTTTGGAAAGCTGACATCTGATCAAGAATCCATGCATTTTTATTGGGCAGTCAACGTTAGCTCAGGGTTCGCCTGACGCGACCTCCAATGGAAATATCCTCCCATCCTCTGACTTTAATGAGATTGCAAGATGCCTTCCTGTGCACACTGCCTTGAAATATCTGTAATATTTGTAGCCATACTATTCATTGATTTAAATCCAAGTTATGAGAGTGCAATATGAAATAGCATTGTGTTTGACCTTGTTCAGATTTACAGGCAGCTATGACATTGCTTGATGACAGTTATATCTTTTAATACTTATATACAAGGGCGCTGGGTAGCCTAGTGGTTAATTTGTTCACTTGTCACGGCGGAGACTTGGGTTTGATTCCCCACTTGGATACAATTTTTTAAGCCCATTTCTCGTGTCCCCTGCCCTGATAAATGCTGCAATGTTTCTAAAAGTGGCATAAATCCATACTCACTCACTCACTCATGTACATTGTTACAGATTATCCTGCACCCAGGGAACTTCCTAAAGAGCAGCCAAGTGATTCCTATGAGGTAACTAGTCTATACTAGGAGTCCTTATGTATTTCTCATGTGGCAGTTCTTCTGAAGTAATTGAATCAAGTGTATCTCTATTCGGATTGATTATTTCTGTTTATGTAATTAATATGTAAATATTTGTAATAAATAGAATGGCTATTGTTAATATTAATTATACGTCCTTGTAAATCTTATGAAATATGATATCTGGCAGGTCGTGAGATATTTTCTGACTTGTATTGAAGGCCTCCATGAGCCGACTGAGTCTCGGGCAGGCAGCAGCCCGGAACAGCCCTGACATCCTCACGTCCACCCCCTATTTGTCTACAGGTACGTACTGCCTCGACATCCTCACATTCACCCCCTACCTGTCTACAGGTAGGGAGTGCCCCGACATCCTCACATCCACCCCCTATTTGTCTACAGGTACGTACTGCCCTGACATCCCCACATCCACCCCCTATTTGTCTACAGGTACGTACTGCCCCGACATCCTCACATCCACCCCCTATTTGTCTACAGGTACGTACTGCCCCGACATCCTCACATCCACCCCCTATTTGTCTACAGGTACGCACTGCCCCGACATCCTCACGTCCACCCCCTATTTGTCTACAGGTAGGGAGTGCCCCAACATCCTCACTTCCATCCCCAATTTGTCTACAGGAGGGTACTGCCCCGACATCCTCACGTCCACCCCCTACCTGTATACAGGTAGGGATTGCCCCAACATCCTCATGTCCACCCCCTATTTGTCTACAGGTACGTACTGCCCCGACATCCTCACATTCACCCCCTACCTGTCTACAGGTAGGGATTGCCCCGACATCCTCACGTCCACCCCCTACCTGTCTACAGGTGGGGATTTCCCCGACATCCTCACATCCACCCCCTATTTGTCTACAGGTACGTACTGCCCCGACATCCTCATGTCCACCCCCTATTTGTCTACAGGTGGGTACTGCCCCGACATCCTCACGTCCACCCCCTATTTGTCTACAGGTAGGGATTGCCCCGACATCCTCACGTCCACCTCCTATTTGTCTACAGGTACGTACTGCCCTGACATCCTCACGTCCACCCCCTATTTGTCTACAGGTACGTACTGTCCCGACATCCTCACGTCCACCCCCTATTTGTCTACAGGTAGGGATTGCCCCGACATCCTCACATTCACCCCCTATTTGTCTACAGGTAGGGATTGCCCCGACATCCTCACGTCCACCCCCTACCTGTCTACAGGTGGGGATTTCCCCGACATCCTCACATCCACCCCCTATTTGTCTACAGGTACGTACTGCCCCGACATCCTCATGTCCACCCCCTATTTGTCTACAGGTACGTACTGCCCCGACATCCTCACGTCCACCCCCTATTTGTCTACAGGTAGGGATTGCCCCGACATCCTCACGTCCACCTCCTATTTGTCTACAGGTACGTACTGCCCCGACATCCTCACATTCACCCCCTACCTGTCTACAGGTAGGGATTGCCCCTGACATCCTCACATCCACCCCCTATTTGTCTTCAGGTACGTACTGCCCCGACATCCTCATGTCCACCCCCTACCTGTCTACAGGTACGTACTGCCCCGACATCCTCATGTCCACCCCCTATTTGTCTACAGGTACGTACATCCCTGACATCCTCACATTCACCCCCTACCTGTCTACAGGTAGGGATTGCCCGACATCCTCACGTCCACCCCCTATTTGTCTACAGGTACGTACTGCCCCGACATCCTCACATTCACCCCCTATTTGTCTACAGGTATGTACTGCCCCTACATCCTCACGTCCACCCCTACCTGTTTACAGGTACGTACTGCCCCGACATCCCCACATCCACTCCCTATTTGTCTACAGGTACGTACTGCCCCGACATCCTCACATCCACCCCCTATTTGTCTACAGGTACGTACTGCCCCGACATCCCCACATCCACCCCCTATTTGTCTACAGGTACGTACTACCCCGACATCCTCACGTCCACCCCCTATTTGTCTACAGGTGGGTACTGCCCCGACATCCTCACATTCACCCCCTACCTGTCTACAGCTTCTCTCTTGCCTTTGGCAGATCATGGACTGGACGACAGCGACCTCTCCTCAAGTCCGGTCAGAATCTCCTCGGCCACTACGCCCCCTCTTGATTCCTCCTCTCCACGTAGCATCGGCAACTCCCCCAGAGGAGGAGGGGGCAGAGTCTCCAGGAAGATCTCCATCGATCCTCACTCCAAGGTCAAGGTCGAGAAGCTGGAAGTGGTAGGCAAACAATTGTTGGAAGTTTCTCTTTGCAAAGATACAATTCTGGGCAATATGTTATCTTAAAGCAAAAAACAATAATTGTCTTGGTTCTCAGGCACCCCCCGCATCATCAATAAAGTCCACTGTACGTTTCGTTTTTATTTCCATTTAAAAAAAATTAACATCTTTGCGTTGTGAAATAAAATCAAAGCTCATTGTATGTATGTATTTTGCACACTGATAGTCAAATAGTAGTCAATTACTGTATTCCAGTATTTTACTTTATTCAAGTAATACATTGATGTAGGGAGGCTCTTTCCCAGGTTGTCTCTACACGACTGTTTATTTGGTTACATACTACTTTGAAGAAAAAAATAAAAATAAATAAATACACATTATATATTCAAAAGCAAGTGCCTGAGAAACAATTTTTTTTGTTAAGCCTATGTAGCATATAAGAAGCTGTAGTGTCAATGAGTGAGTGAGCAAGTTGGATTTTAATGCCATTTTGTCTCAGACATTTACCACGAACTGTGGTGTGGTGCTGACAAACCTAGAAACGTAAGCGGGTCAAACCAGGATTCAAACCTACGATCATAGGTTTCTGACATGCCCAAGCAACTCAACTCTGACCGCGAATTGCGGTGCCTTGAACAACTGGGCCACCCAGTCACCCCCGTAGTATCAGTGAAGACTGAGTTGACATATGTATTTGAACTTGAACTTTCAATGTGGCATTTCGTTAAGGCCATTTGTACCTTTATCAAGCAAGTGATCAACTGAGTTATTTATCTTACCTTATTAATGCCAGCTTCTGATTGGCTGAGACCCACTCTATTATTTTCAATGTACCCTGCTAACATGTAAGGTACAGTTCTTATGTTTTCCCGGTCAAATTGCTGAGTTGTTGGCATTACATCTGCAACATACCAACCGCAATTTTGTCGAATTAATGATGTAAAATGGTATCTCCAGATATTTACGATATTTTCCGAATGAAATAGATCTATGGTGAATAACTCTAAATTCTGGCGTCTGCTGTTTTTAGATGAATGTGAGAAATGAAGAAAGTGGATGAATGCCCATCTGTGGTATTGTTACAGATGTAAAGTGAAGTTACTTGCAGTCATATAACTTGGAACATTGCTGAGTGTGGCGTTACAAGAACAACAAACCCAGTGGCTTTTGAGTATGATGCTATATCAGTGACCACTTGGGAGTTTGGCTTTGGTGGTGTGGACTGTAATCATGTTTGTTGTTTAACGCAGCACTCAGCAATATTCGATCAGTATGGTGACAGTCTGTAAATAATTGAGTCTGTACCAGACAATCCATTGATTGACATCTTAAGAATCGATCGAGGCATTTGGAAATATGACATTCACAAAAATTGTCAGTGAGCCTGACTGCCTGATCACTGGGGCCAGGCTTGATGATTATCAGACTCCAGATTTCTGCTTACTTGTTCTGAAACTGATGGAGTGAGGTTTGATGACAGACGCTGAGATACCTCGGTCTGGAGCCGAGTGCGGAGGAGCAAGAGGAGCTGCACCAGCTGCTGGACATCGACAACGATGGCCAGGTGGAGTACGGAGGTAGGTGACTCCAAGACATCGACAACGATGGCCAGGTGGAGTACGGAGGTAGGTGACTCAAGACATTGACAACGACGGCCAGGTGGAGTATGGAGGTAGGTGACTCCAAGACATTGACAACGATTGCCAGGTGGAGTACGGAGGTCGGTGACTCCAAGACATCGACAACGATGGCCAGGTGGAGTACGGAGGTAGGTGACTCCAAGACATCGACAACGATGGCCAGGTGGAGTACGGAGGTAGGTGACTCCAAGACATCGACCATGATGGCCAGGTGGAGTACGGAGGTAGGTGACTCCAAGACATTGAAAACGATGGCCAGATGGAGTACGGAGGTAGGTGACTCCAAGACATTGACAACGATGGCCAGGTGGAGTACGGAGGTAGGTGACTCAAGACATTGACAACGATGGCCAGATGGAGTATGGAGGTAGGTGACTCCAAGACATTGACAACGATGGCCAGGTGGAGTATGGAGGTAGGTGACTCCAAGACATTGACAACGATGGCCAGGTGGAGTACGGAGGTCGGTGACTCCAAGACATCGACAACGATGGCCAGGTGGAGTACGGAGGTAGGTGACTCCAAGACATTGACAACGATGGCCAGGTGGAGTACGGAGGTAGGTGACTCCAAGACATCGACCATGATGGCCAGGTGGAGTACGGAGGTAGGTGACTCCAAGACATTGAAAACGATGGCCAGATGGAGTACAGAGGTAGGTGACTCCAAGACATCGACAACGATGGCCAGGTGGAGTATGGAGGTAGGTGACTCCAAGACATTGACAACGATGGCCAGGTGGAGTACGGAGGTAGGTGACTCCAAGACATTGACAACGATGGCCAGATGGTGTACGGAGGTAGGTGACTCCAAGACATTGACAACGATGGCCAGGTGGAGTACAGAGGTAGGTGACTCCAAGACATTGACAACGATGGCCAGGTGGAGTATGGAGGTAGGTGACTCCAAGACATTGACAACGATGGCCAGGTGGAGTATGGAGGTAGGTGACTCCAAGACATTGACAACGATGGCCAGGTGGAGTACGGAGGTAGGTGACTCCAAGACATTGACAACGATGGCCAGATGGTGTACGGAGGTAGGTGACTCCAAGACATTGACAACGATGGCCAGGTGGAGTACGGAGGTAGGTGACTCCAAGACATTGACAACGATGGCCAGATGGTGTACGGAGGTAGGTGACTCCAAGACATTGACAACGATGGCCAGGTAGAGTACGGAGGTAGGTGACTCCAAGATACTGACAACGATGGCCAGATGGTGTACGGAGGTAGGTGACTCCAAGACATTGACAACGATGGCCAGGTGGAGTATGGAGGTAGGTGACTCCAAGATACTGACAACGATGGCAAGGTGGAGTATGGAGGTAGGTGACTCCAAGATCTATGAACAACTGAAGATGTGCAGCACTCTATGTTCCATGCTAGGAACCACTAAATGGTTGTCATTGAGTGGTACAAAAAGTCTTCCAGACTTGAAATAACACATGATATTGATGTGACACAATGGAGTTCACCCAAATTAATAACAACTATTTATAGCACCTCATTCATTATCTGGACGGTGGGGTAGCCTAGTGGTTCAAGGGTTCGCTCGTCACGCCGGGTTCGATTTCCCACATGGGTACAGTGTGTGAAGCCCATTTTCTGGTGTCCCCCACCATGATATTGATGGACTATTGCTAAAAGTGGCGTAAAACCACACTCACTTACTCCATTATCCCCCTTAAAGGGGAAGTGTACACGCAAAATTCACTTTCTTTCTTTTTCTAAACAAAACGCAATTTTAGAATTAGTTAATATCTGTGTTTGAAATGTAAACTCATTTTTTTCACAGTGAAAGTAGGAAGCTCACAATAGTGTGAAAATGATATGCCGTTATGAGGCCTTCGTTTTTCGAGCTAAACAGGCCTGAGTTATCCCCCTTAGATTATGACGTAATTGGTGCCAATTCAACTGGATCCCTGTCTATTCTCAACGCAAAAGATATCAAGTACCAGTTTTCGGTAAAACAACATGGCCTACGACACACTCCGGCGCAGTGATGACTCAGCATAACACTATGCTGGCTGGCATCTGAGACGCTAGAATCACACAGCTGTACCTACACCACGTGAAGCGGCTCTAACATAGCATGATGACGTCATAATGTTTATCAATTGGCACCAATGACGTCATATTGCAAGGGGCATAAGCCATCGTGTTTTTGTTATGAAAATAGAACACTTGGTAAATGTGAAAAATATAAATCGTTTTAATGCAAAACATATGTTAATTAATTGTGATATTTTTATATTTTTGTCTATGACACTACTAGGTTAACACTTTTAATGTGGAAAAAGTACAAGAAAAATAGGTTCATTTCCGTGTGAACTTGCCCTTTAAAATCCGGGTTCAGCAACCCATGCCTTTTCAAACAAGTAACAAGATCAAGTGGTCAGGCTATCTGACTTGGTTGAATCATGTCATTGTATCCCAGTTGCTCATGATGTCTATCACTGGATTGTGCTCTCAGTTAGCTGGAATATGGCTGAGTACAGCATTAAACAACAAACAAACTAAACCTCATTCATTGCTATCATCAGCCCAACAGACTTTCAAGTTGTGATATTTCATTGCAGCTTTTGTGAAGGCGGCAAAGCAGGTGTTTCAAGCCCACTTGAAGGGGCGCCGAGTTGCGTGGCCAGCGACACCATCACAGGATCAGTCATGGGAGTATGAAGAGGAGGAAGTGTTGGACCAGGTGATAGGCCGAGGAAACTCCTTGTATACAGTCTACAGTGGAGAAAGCTCCCGTGAAGATCCGGGGTAGAATAGGTCTTCAGCAACCCATGCTTGCTGTAAAAGGCGACTATACTTGTCGTAAAAGGCGACTAAGGGGATGACTTGGTTGATGCATGTCATCGATCCCAATTGCATGGATCGATGTTCATGATGTGAATCACTGGATTGTCTGGTCAAGAATTGATTATTTACAGACCGCCGTCATATAGCTGGAATATTGCTGAGTGCGGCGTTAAACAACAAACAAACCAAACCAACCTTGTATACAGTCTACAATGATTAGAACAGCACCTAACACAACATTCTCTCTCTTTCTTTGTGAGGGATTGGGGATTTGATGGCTACAATGGCCACAGGGTATTGAAAGTACTCTGACCTGGCTGAATTAGTTGGACAATTAATCTCATTTTGACATTTTCACAGACATGATGGCAATTATGTTTGGCAGTACTTTGCGTTTTGTTTATACTCCAAATTATTTGCTGAACAAACTATTGTTGAGTAATAGTTGACGAGTAAGTCACATCGTTAGGAACAGGTTGATCTTGCATCTGACAAATTCCCATTTTGTAACTAGAACATACTAAATGGTATCACAGTTTAGGTTGCACCAGGGTTCCTGTGTAAGAAATTTGGACCTATCCAATGACAAGGAATGGAAATCTTTCCTGCTTTGTGTGTATCTGACTAGTAGACTGATGTAACCACAAGTTTTGACACACACCATTTAGAATCATTGCTTGTTGACATAACAGCAAGACAGTGTGAAACATCATGCAAGGTTCATGCAGCCTTTACAAGGCTGCAAAAGGCCTTGAAGGTTCCTCTTGAAAAGCCTTGAATTTGTATGATGTATACATGTACTTGTTGATAAAATTTTAAATGTGGTTTGTTTGTGTGCCATGAAGAATTCATAACAGACTTAATTTATTTTATTTCTTATTTGTTCAAATAACTTGTTGGAAAATTTGTGATGTGCATACTGCATTTTAGGTATTATGAATAAGATATCGTATACTGGATTAGAAAATATATTTACAAACTAAGCCTTATAACCAAATTAAAAAGCCTTAATAGTGACAGTTGAATGCCTTGAGTCTCAGTGTTGCATGTCTGTATTAACCTTGCCATGGCTAACTTCCTGTTAATCATGCCTGTTTCTGTTTATAGGAAAGCTTGTGGAATGAGAGGAACCAGTTGAGGCTTGAAGTTCAAAAGCTGAGAGTAAGTCTTTGTTAGGGGTATTTTTAAAGATACTATGTAATAAAAACTCTACTCATCTAGCTTTTCCTTTGACCATCGTAACTAAAACTTGTGCAGTCAAGCTACTTTCCCTGTGCAGGAAAGTTAGACAGATATTGGTGGGGCACGGGTGGTCCAGTCGTCTAAGGCGCTGTGCAGAGTTGCGTCCCTTGGGCACGCCAGAAACCTATGATTGTGGCTTCGCATCCCGGTTCGCCCCGATTATGTTTCTAGGTTTGTCAGCACCATACCCGTGCTCGTGGGTTTCACCGAAGTGGTAAACGTCTGAGACCTGCATCACTTTGGGCTTTCCTCCCACATTAAGCTGACATGCCGCGATATAACTACAATACTGTTAAAAGCGCATTAAACCAAACTCACTCACTCACTCACTAGACAGATATTGTAAACAGTCAACTGTACTGAACTACACACTCCACTTTGGATGGGGATATTTTTCTATTTCCATGATACACAACACTGATTCTCATAATACTGTATGTCCAATGTATATTAAAAAATAGAGACATACCTGACTATCCCTATCAAAAGTTAAGTTAGTACAGACTTATTCCCTGGTTTGTTACTGTGTTACTTTGTTACTTTGTTACTTTGTTACTGTGTTACTTTGTTACTTTGTTACTTGTGTGAAAAAGGTGAGCTTGTTGGGAAATAAGGTTTCAAGTACTGCTGTTATCCTTGTCAGTGAGTTTGAAAAGGGGAATAACTCTTGATATGTTCAGCAGTCACTTGATTTATTCCAGCTAATGTTTATTGTAGGATTTGCATCATCATTCTCCATCTGCTGGAATCAGCTGTGATATTCAGTTTTAATCAAGTGTATGATATTTTCCAGGAATTAGTTCGAGAAAAAGACAGAACCTGTTTCAGAAGAGAAGAGGAACTGCACAAGATCCGTCGGGTATGATATGAGATTTATAGACCACTTGGTAGCTGATCATCTACTAGAGGTAAGACTCTCTAGCTGAAGGTTTTTATGTTTCCTATAAGTAGGATATGCATGTATTCCTTCAAATAATAGAGCAAGGCCTCACTAACAGGTACGATCATACCGGTAGATCTTTTAAACCAAGCTGAACATAATCGTTGCTTTGTAAGCATGCACAAGCAAGAGATCTTTATGTCACATTATATACTCAGGGATTGACCTTGTCATATATATTCGCAAGTGCTGGGGTTATAAATTTTTGGGGTCCCAATCATTAAAATGATGGTCCAAGGGTGTCCACTGTGCCTACAGCAAATATATAAGTGGTATGTTTGATGACTTAAACTCATTATAGATGGTATGGTGTGAAGTTGGTGTGAAAGTTTATACATGCGTCCAATCTCACTAAATCAGATCTTCTTTTTTTCTGATATGATACCACTCTTCATAAGATGTGGGGACAACTTCATAGAAAGCCACAGTGGACTCTGATTGGACTTTGACCCCCTCAGTCGATAAGAAGGGTGAATAGGTTCTTGAGCCAATCAGCTGTCAGGGTTCTAAAATGATTCAGCTTCATTTTTGGAGCACCTCAATTCAGAAACAACAGGATGTTTGAAATATCCTTATCAATGTAATCACGCCACTATACTTTCTAGTTTCGGAACTTTTTGTTTAAGTTTGTTTTTGAGATACAGAAAAGGGTATGCAGGTTTGAATGCTTCGCTTACTCCTACTGAGAATTTAGAAGCTGTGACGCTGATTGGCTGTTTAGAAGTTCACCTGATGCGAGCGCTAATGGAGATATCCTAAGGTCTCCACACAGAGTAAAAGATCTGATTTAAATGAGATTGTACATGCACCTAGTAAGTTTCTTTACACTTGGATTTATATTTATTCATTTATTTTCGAAAAATATTATAAAATGTTTAGTAGTCTCAGTACATACCAGTCGATGTCCTTTTGTGGCTACAGAATCAGTTAAAATTATCTATACTTAAGAATGAAATAGATGGAAATCTCATAGCTAATATGTATTTGGAAAAGGTATTGATACAAATATATGATCATTATGTGAGACAATTATCCTGATCTTGATAGTGTGTTGAGTCGTGATGGTGCAGTCATCACACTGGAGGCATGGGTGTGTTTCCCTATATCATGTTTACACTGTGTGAAGCCCATTTCTGGTATCCCCTGCTGGGATATTGCTCAAATAAATTGAGAATCACTGACTTACTGTATGTATTTGTTTGTACCTCATCAGGAGGCCCAGACTGCCATCGAGGAGTGCCGGTCCCTCCGTAGCAAGCTCCACCTGGCGGAACAAGCCCAGCTGGCAGCACGCACTATGGAAGAGGACTACGAGGAGGTGGTCGCGCTCCTGGAGAACGAGATCGCACAGCTCCGGGTGCAGCTTGTCAAGACGGTCAGTCAGTTACCATGTTCTCAAGTTACTGGAGAAATCACCACCTGGCATCACAATCCACTTAGAACAGTTTATAATAGTATTTCCACTCATGTTCTGGATTCTGTGGCTGTAGGAGTGTTTGTTCTTGTAATGCTTGCATTATGATTTTGATTTCTCTAATAGATATCAACACTCCCTGTTTCAATAAGAGTGTATTCCACTATTTCCTTTAAGAATGATACATGATTATTATGGAGTTTATTTAATTAGTGAAAGGACAGTTCTTACCACTTATGGTGCCCATGTTGCCAGTGTCTGAATACAAACTGGAAGTTGGATGAAATGCAAAAGAAATTAAACCGAGTTTGGCAATTTAATGTCAAGGGTAACTTCCCTTCCTATGTAGACCTGCTTTGAATGTTCATGTTAATGAACTCGGCAGTACGGAAAAGATGATTCATTTGTATACTATATTTGTGAAAGTTTGGTTGGTGATTCTTAAAGCAAGTGATTGATAAACCTACCTCAGTATACAAAATAAATGAAGAAACACAACTTCGTGGAAAGTCGTGCAAACCCCTATAAAGTAGGCCTGTCATGATTACTTGCATACCTGCTTATGGTGTGATTAGAATTCCTAACTAGTTCAAGAATATGCAAACCGGTGTTCGTTATACTAGTTTATTATTATTAATAATCTTTTGCCGTTACATTTATGAAACTATCTGTAATATTGTCACAGTCTGATGTATTCACTATTAAAAAGTTATAAATAGACACTAAATCCATTTGCTATCTTCAACAGTCTGTCAATGACGTAATAAAAGATAAGTCCTTGCAAAACAGCAAATAATGTAATGAATGTCAGACAGGTATTGTTGAGGAACGAATTGTTCTGTTTTGACAGGTGTACCTTGCACTGTAAAGATTTTGAATACATTGTAATATCTGTTTTCAGTAAAATAGTTTCATTAAGAAAAATATCTGGTTCAAGATTGTTCAGATAAATAGTCTTAACACTCTGACCATGGTGTCCCCAAAGATATAGGGGTAATCTATATGTCACTCCGACCTTGCTGTCCCCAAAGATATAGGGGTAACCTATATGTCACTCCGACCTTGCTGTCCCCAAGATAGAGGTAATCTATATGTCACTCTGACCTTGCTGTCCCCAAAGATAGGGGTAATCTGTATGTCACTCTGACCTTGCTGTCCCCAAAGATAGGGGTAATCTGTATGTCACTCCCACCTTACTGTCACCAAAGATAGGGGTAATCTGTATGTCACTCCAACCTTGCTGTCCCCAAGATAGAGGTAATCTATATGTCACTCCGACCTTGCTGTCCCCAAAGATAGGGGTAATCTGTATGTCACTCCGACCTTACTGTCCCCAAGATAGAGGTAATCTATATGTCACTCCGACCCTACTGTCCCCAAGATAGAGGTAATCTATATGTCACTCCGACCTTACTGTCACCAAAGATAGGGGTAATCTATATGTCACTCCGACCTTGCTGTCCCCAAAGATAGGGGTAATCTGTATGTCACTCCCACCTTACTGTCACCAAAGATAGGGGTAATCTATATGTCACTCCCACCTTACTGTCACCAAAGATAGGGGTAATCTATATGTCACTCCGACCTTACTGTCACCAAAGATAGGGGTAATCTATATGTCACTCCGACCTTACTGTCCCCAAGATAGAGGTAATCTATATGTCACTCCGACCCTACTGTCCCCAAGATACAGGTAATCTATATGTCACTCCGACCTTACTGTCACCAAAGATAGGGGTAATCTATATGTCACTCCGACCTTGCTGTCCCCAAAGATAGGGGTAATCTGTATGTCACTCCCACCTTACTGTCACCAAAGATAGGGGTAATCTATATGTCACTCTGACCTTACTGTCCCCAAAGATAGGGGTAATCTATATGTCACTCCGACCTTACTGTCACCAAAGATAGGGGTAATCTATATGTCACTCCCACCTTACTGTCCACAAAGATAGGGGTAATCTATATGTCACTACATGTCACTCTTAGTATTGTTTAAAAATTATTTGTTAACATACATCTGTGATAAGCCGCTCGTAATTTACTGCTCTTTGATGATAGGCTTTTAGAGAAGGAATGCATTACCATGTCTAGTCACAATATTGCTGAAATACTGCCGATGTGACTAACCATTTGAACTCACTGACTGACTCTCCACTGATACCTGTTATTCTCCATGATGGCAACCATGCTACACTACCAGTATTTTACTGTCTCTGACAGGCTTTTCAAAAACAAATGCATTACTTTATCCGGTCACAATATGGCTATATCTAGTCACTCACTCACTGTCCACTGATACCTGTTATTCCCTAGGATGGCGTGCCTGCAACAAACCCAAGCTCTGCCCAGAAGAAGCTGGCTGTGTTGGTGTGTCAGCTGAAGAAAGCCGAGGCGGGCAGGAAGACGTATGAAGTCAGCACAGAGAAGCTACTGGAATATGTGGAGGTGTGCCCAAGATTGAGATACATGCTTTGTTACATTTTGGTCATGTCATCTATAACTGTGAAAATGATGGGCCAGGTGTGAGAAACATGGGGCCTCAGGACTTGTAGGATAATCAGAAATTGGGAGTTGTAGGGTAGGCTAGGGGTTGAGCCTTCGTAGGGATTCCATGTAAGAATACAGGTCCCAGGATCTTATGCTTGTTGTGGATGGATGGTGACTAGATCGATCAAGGACATGATTGATGGCATATCATCGTATGCCAATTGTGTGGATCAATGCTCATCATTTACAGGTTCAGGATACTGCAGTCATGTAGCTGGAATATTGATGAGTGTGGTGTGAACGAGCAAACTCACACACACAATAAAGCATCAGTTTGTCACACTAAAAACATAGGTTTGAATCCATTCTTGGGTGAAATATATTCTTGATGTGTATCTCTAGGTGATAACTGGCATATTGCTGAATGTTACACCAGACCATCCTCACTTAGAGATAGAGGGTAATGGGTGTTACAAAGCTGCTGTTGTAGAATGGGTGTTACAAAGCTGCTGTTGTAGAATGGGTGTTACAAAGCTGCTCTTGTAAAGTGTGTTACAGCTGCTGTTGTAGAGCGTGTGTTACAGCTGCTGTTGTAAAGTGTGTTACAGCTGCTGTTGTAGAGTGTTACAGCTGCTGTTGTAGAGTGTGTTACAGTTGCTGTCGTAGAGTGTGTTACAGCTGCTGTTGTAGAGTGTGTTTTACAGCTGCAGTTGTAGAGTGTGTGTTACAGCTGCTGTTTTAGAGTGTTACAGCTGCTGTTGTAAAGTGTGTTACAGCTGCTGTTGTAGAGTGTGTTACAGCTGCTGTTGTAGAGTGTGTGTTACAGTTGCTGTTGTAGAGTGTGTTACAGCTGCTGTTGTAGAGTGTTACAGCTGCTGTTGTAGAGTGTGTTTTACAGCTGCTGTTGTAGAGTGTTTTACAGCTGCAGTTATAGAGTGTGTGTTACAGCTGCTGTTTTAGAGTGTGTTACAGCTGCTGTTGTAGAGTGTGTGTTACAGTTGCTATTTTAGAGTGTGTTACAGCTGCTGTTGTAGAGTGTGTGTTACAGTTGCTGTTGTAGAGTGTGTGTTACAGCTGCTGTTGTAGAGTGTGTGTTTCAGCTGCTGTTGTAGAGTGTGTTATAGTTGCTGTTGTAGGGTGTGTGTTATTGTTGCTGTTGTAATGTGTGTTACAGCTGCTGTTGTAGAGTGTGTTACAGCTACTGTTGTAGAGTGTGTGTTACAGTTGCTGTTGTAGAGTGTGTTGCAGTTGCTGTTGTAGAGTGTGTGTTACAGCTGCTGTTGTAGAATGGGTTGAAACAACTGCTGTTGCAGAGTGTGTCTTTCTAATGGTGCTGTCATAGATTTTGTATTTACAGCTGTTGTGTTTGCATTCTGTTGTTAGCAAAGCTGCTGTTGTAGAGTGTGTTACATGTGTTGTAGAATGTGTTACATGTGCTGTTGTAGAGTGTGTTACAGCTGCTGTTGTAGAGTGTTACAGTTGCTGTTGCAGAGTGTGTGTTACAGCTGCTGTTGTAGAGTGTGTGTTACATGTGTTGTAGAATGTGTTACATGTGCTGTTGTAGAGTGTTACAGCTGCTGGTGTAAAGTGTCTTACAGCTGCTGTTGTAGAGTGTGTGTTACAGTTGCTGTTGTAGAGTGTGTTACAGCTGCTGTTGTAAAATGTGTTACAGCTGCTGTTGTAGAGTGTTACAGCTGCTGTTGTAGACTGTGTGTTACAGTTGCTGTTGTAGAGTGTGTAACAGCTGCTGTTGTAGAGTGTGTTTTACAGCCGCAGTTGTAGAGTGTGTTACAGGTGCTGTTTTAGAGTGTGTTACAGCTGCTGTTGTAGCTGTTGTAGAGTGTGTGTTACAGTTGCTGTTGTAGAGTGTGTGTTACAGCTGCTGTTGTAGAGTGTGTGTTTCAGCTGCTGTTGTAGAGTGTTATAGTTGCTGTTGTAGAGTGTGTGTTACAGTTGCTGTTGTAAAGTGTGTTACAGCTGCTGTTGTAGAGTGTGTTATAGTTGCTGTTGTAGGGTGTGTGTTACAGTTGCTGTTGTAGAGTGTTACAGCTGCTGTTATAGAGTGTGTGTTACAGTTGCTGTTGTAGAGTGTGTTACAGTTGCTGTTGTAGAGTCAGTGTTACAGCTGCTGTTGTAGAGTGTGTGTTTCAGCTGCTGTTGTAGAGTGTGTTATAGTTGCTATTGTGGGGTTAGTGTTACAGCTGCTGTTGAAGAGTGTGTTACAGCTGCTGTTGTAGAGTGTGTGTTACAGTTGCTGTTGTAGTGTTACAGTTGCTGTTGTAGAGCGTGTGTTAAAGCTGCTGTTGTAGAGTGTGTCTTTCAGCTGCTGTTGAAGAGTGTGTTATAGTTGCTGTTGTAGGGTGTGTGTTACAGCTGCTGTTGTAGAGTGTGTTACAGCTGCTGTTGTAGAGTGTTACAGGTGTTTTAGAGTGTGTGTTACAGCTGCTGTTTTAGAGTGTGTTACAGCTGCTGTTGTAGAGTGTGTTACAGCTGCTGTTGAAGAGTGTGTGTTACAGGTGCTGTTGTAGAGTGTGTTACAGGTGCTGTTTTAGAGTGTTACAGCTGCTGTTGAAGAGCGTGTGTTACAGCTGCTGTTGTAGTGTTTGTGTTACAGCTGCTGTTGTAGAGTGTGTGTTACAGCTGCTGTTGTAGAGTGTGTGTTACAGCTGCTGTTGTAGAGTGTGTCACAGCTGCTGATGAAGAGTGTGTGTTACATGTGCTGTTGTAGAGTGTGTTACAGGTGCTGTTGAAGAGTGAGTGTTACAGCTGCTGTTGTAGAGTCTGTTACAGCTGCTGTTGTAGAGTGTGTTACAGCTGCTGTTGTAGAGAGTGTGTTACAGCTGCTGTTGTAGAGTGTGTGTTACAGCTGCTGTTGTAGTGTGTGTGTTACAGGTGCTGTTGTTGTTTCAGCATGTCCAGGAGACAATTACACAGCCAGCTACCGATGGGATACAAGCCAGGTGAGACTCAGCGATGTTGATCTGTTCATGTTCTTGGACAGTGACTGATTGTCATCCAAAATGTCCTAAAGATATGTTTCAAATTTGTTTAAGTTATAGAGGAATGTCCTATCAATAGTACATGAAATCATAATATGTACTCATGCCATAAACAAACAAATAAACTGAAAACCCAGGGTTGACCTCGTTGAAGGAGACATCTGACTTACCAATCCCAGATTACCTTTCAAATCCAAAACCTCCGAGAAGAACCTGGTTAGAACTGGTCTTCAGCAACCCATGTTTGTCATGAGGCTACTAAGGTATCGGGTTGTAAGTCTCATTGACTTGGTTGATGAATGTCATTGTATCCTGATTGCATAGGTCAATGCTTGTGATGTCAATCACATATAGCTGAAATTTTGCTGAGTGCAATGTTAAACAAAACACAAAATTCTATTCTATACAACATTATAGAACAGGAGAGAAAAACCTTAGACCCCTTCTTAACTTCTTAACTAATAAGTAAGTGATTGCAAAAGAATATGTATGTCACTGTGGTATGGTAAGATGGATTTTTTGGTTTTGGTTTGGTTTGTTGTTTAACGCCGCACTCAGCAATATTCCAGCTATATGACGGCGGTCTGTAAATAACCGAGTCTGGACCAGACAATCCAGTGATTGATATCATGAGCATCGATCCACGCAATTGGGATCGATGACATGCATGAACCAAGTCAGCGAGCCTGACCACCCGATCCCGTTTTTCGCCTTTTACGACAAGCATAGTAACCTTATCCGGCAAGCATGGGTTGCAGAAGACCTATTCTACCCCGGAATCTACAGGGGTCTGGTAAGATGGAGACCAGCAGAATATGTTCTTCCTAACATCCACATCCAATACAAAGCTTGAATTATCATTTTCTAAATTGTCAGTTCACATTTTCATGTGTAATATTTTGTTGAAAATTAACAGAAACCATAATTGAGTTTTTTTCTGGTATTGGAATGACAGCGAGAATGAGAAGAACCAGATGAACCAGACAAAGAGGAACAAGAAGCAAAATCTCAAGGGTCTGGCTAAGGAGGGACAGGAGGTGGTGAAGATGGTCAAATCTCTCATTGAGACTGTGCGTAAGTAGCATACAGACTGCGTAAGTAGCATAGATTCTGCTTATCAGCAGCATACAGACTGTAAGTACTGAAGATACTATGTGTAAGTAGCATACAGATTGTGCGAAAGTACCATAGACATTGTGCATGAGTACCTTATAGAGTATGCGTAAGTACATAGTTGTTGTCCGTAAGTACCTTACGGAGTAAGCGTAAGTAGTATAGACATTGTGAGCAAGTATCTTGCAGAGTATGCGTAAGTTGTATAGACATTGTGCGTGAATACCTTACAGATTATGCGTAAGTAGTATAGACAATGTGCGTAAGTACCTTACGGAGTATGCGTAAGTAGTATAGATATTGTGCGTAAGTACCTTACGGTGTATGCGTAAGTAGTATCGACATTGTGCGTAAGTACCTTACGGTGTATGCGTAAGTAGTATCGACATTGTGCGTAAGTACCTTACGGAGTATGCGTAAGTAGTATCTACATTGTGCGTAAGTACCTTACGGTGTATGCGTAAGTAGTATCGACATTGTGCGTAAGTACCTTACGGTGTATGCGTAAGTAGTATCGACATTGTGCGTAAGTACCTTACGGAGTATGCGTAAGTAGTATAGGCATTGTGCGTGAGTACCTTACTGAGTATGCATATGTAACATCAGATTCTGTATTTCCACTGTAGTTGTTGGGAAGTCTATCTGGATACAAATCGCAAACTCACCTGTCAATGTATTTCTTCTCAGCAGTCTCTGCTTAGTATGTTCAAGTTAAATGTGTTGATAAATTTCAGGTAAAACAACTGTAAACATGAAAAGGGGAGACAACTTTTTTCCAAAATGAAACAGGAAATGCTAGAAATGAATACGACAGTCGTAGGTCAGTGTTGAAGTATGGGAGTCAGGATAGTCTATGATAGGATTAAGAATGGGACCCAGAATGAGAAGAATGTGCAATGATTCTTCCTTCATTTTGTTTTCTAGCTCTGCCGTATGGATGGGAAGAGGCCTACACTGGGGACGGGACCAAGTACTACATCAAGTGAGTTGATTGTTCCTCTTAATCACTGGTTTGTCTGGTCCAGACTCGGATTATTTACCCGCTGCTCTGATGTGGCTGGAATATTGCTGAACAGTGTTAAATAAAATTCCATCACTGGATCACCCCTGGGGCTGTAAGAGTATATTTGGTTGTGTTGTAACATTGGGTCTGGTTTACATGTAATCATACTCACTGAAATAGGACTGAATGCTTACAGTGATGAGTGATAAAAGGTAATGAGATGGCATTATTGAGATCAGAATGTTCTGTATGTTTTTAAGTTTTGTTTCCATATTAAATACACTTGAATACCTTAGTTGACTGGATTTGGAGTGTGATTCTGGGGGGTGGAAAATCCATGACTGACTCGCCGGACTCATTATTTCAGATTGCCAGACAAACAAAAAATACAACATCAGTAATAATTCTCCTCTCAACATAATGATAATTATATTAAAATATTACATATTTAATAAAAGAATACAACATAAAAGCCAGATTTCAAAGACATCCAACGGGAGCTTTCCGACTGTTACAACTTAACTAAATATGCAGCAACTTTGAATTTGAATGTTAACATGTTTAATAAGTTTGGGTCAAGCTGTCATTTACTATTTTAGAAAATGTAGTGACAAGTCTAATATGTATGCGCAACTTATGTAAAATGCAACAAAAATAATAAATTATAAAAAAAAAAAAAAATCTGTAATATTTTGCAGACATTTGGTTAAGTTTGATGACATGTTTCTAACAAATACTAAAATATAGCTTTGTAATGGCAGTGTTTACTCCCTTGTTCGGATTACACGTTAGGACACTCTCTCTGAATGGTTGATCACAGTACCATGTAGCCAATTGTGTGATGTATTGTAAGAATTGTTTTGTTTGTTTGTTGTTTAATGATGCAATCAGCAATATTCTGTATGACTGTGGTCTGTAAATAATAGAATCTGGACCAGACAATCTAGTGATTGACATCATTAGCATTGATCTACGCATCAACCAAGTCAGCGAGCCTGACCTCTGGATCCCGTTAGTTGCCTCTTACGACGAGCATAGTCGCCTCTTAAGACAAGAATAGGTTGCTGAAGACCTTTTCTGACCCAGAGTGTCACCGGTCTATATTATGAGATGTGCAGGACAGTCGAACTGGATGCACAGAACATATGGTGTTCATTTTATTGTGGCCAGCAATGGATATATTCATTGTTTGTGGTGAAAAAAGCCATGGCAGATACAAAAACTGATTCATCAATGTCAAAACAAATTGCACAGGCAGTAAGAGACCCATTTTGTGATGAGAACACAATTTTTAGTCACATACCAACGCCATAATCTGGACATGTGAATTTTTAATATTTACTGGTCCAGGGACAAGTTCACAATTTTGATATTTCCACACCCTTGCATTGTGACCCGATAAATTGGATGTCATTGTACTGTGGAATATTGGATTAGCCGATGTCATCAATTGCTGGTTTATCTAGTCCTGATTTTTTAAAGGTATCATGACATATCTGTATAATGCTGACTGGCATTAAACTACGTTCAGTTACTCACTTAACCCGTGAAGATCCGGGGTAGAATAGGTTGTCAGTGACCCATGCTTGCCATACAAGGCGACTATGCTTGTCGTTAAGGGGCGACTAACGGGATCGGGTGGTCAGGCTCGCTGACTTGGTTACTGCATGTCATTGTATCCCAATTGCATGGATCGATGCTCATGATGTCAGTCACTAGATTGTCTGGTCCAGACTCGATTATTTAAAGACCGCTGTCATGTAGCTGTGATATTGCTGAGAGTGTCGTTAAACAACAAACAAAGAACAAATGACATGACGTAGCAGTATAATGGTGACCGTGGCATTAAACAACATTCGTTTGCTCACACTTTGAAAGTTAAAGATGGTTGACTTGACATAGCTCATCTTCCCGAGGCAAGAGAGTTAACTGACTATAAAAGTCCAGTTTCCACCCTTGCCGAACTAGGCTGGTATTATGGAGTTTCATTTTGGCTGGACTAACGAGTCTATGCATAGTCCAATCAAAATCGCGCACCGAAATTGAAATCTGGTTCGTAAACTGTCGTGCAGATTTCGGTCGATAGCAGGATTTGCAAAGCATGTGCACCACCAACTCGTTGTCAGCAGATATTTTCCAAATCTTCTCATGATTTTAATCAAGATGCTCACGTGATTTGATGCATTTCGCGATGGAAGACACGTTTTATCACAATATAGATATTGATTATCGATCAGATTGTCCTGACTGGGCGCAACCATTTTGTGTGAAGCAAACGCAAGTGATACAAGAGGTGGAATCTGATTGGTCCTTAGGAGAGGCTTAGAAGGGACATAATTGGTAATAGCCACTGGTGGCGCTCTGATCGAACCCAGTAATTCCTACCTAATTCGGCAAGGGTGGGAACTGGACTTTTAAAGTCAGTTAACTCTCTTGCCTCGGGAAGATGGAAATAGCTGTGCAGTAACAGTTGTGGCATGAAGCTTTTTTGGTTGCTCACTTGAAATGAAAGAGGGTTGACATGTTTGCTGTGTTGTAGCCATACTAACCAGACAACAACTTGGACACATCCTGTCTCCGGCGTCCAGCATCAGACCGACTCCCTCCACAAGCCCCGGCCACCAGCAATACACACAGACAAGGGATAGGAACCCGTCACTCAGTTCTTCCATCAGTTGTCTTCCGTCAAATCTTCCACAATGTGTGGTTTGTGTGAACTACCAACCCCATACTGACATATATATCGCCATGCTATATTTGTACCCATGGATCTTGATCTTCCGTCCATTGACGTTAGATTTTAGCAAGGTTTGTTATTTCACAGTGTGGTTGGATGTCAGTTATACCGTTCCTGGAAGTAGAAACGCTAAACTGACACATTGTCGCAGTGATGCGTCTACAGCAGTTGAACTTTGCTCATGTCAAGTACAACAAATATTTTTATTTTTGTTTTGAGCAGTATTGATAATTATAAAACACAGGGAACGCATACAATTCAATTCTTTGTTCCAGTACTCAGGGGTGAGAATCTTCCATGGATCAGTGTATTTCCGCAAATTTTAGTGATCGCAGATTTGTTAAAAACTGATGGCTTCCCCCATAAAACCCCCAAATTATGGACCATGCTCCTTTGCAAAGAAGTTTCAGCTGAAAATAAAATATCCATTCTCATCCCTGAGTTCTTTAGATGCCTCAGCCTGTGACTACAATAAAGTCAGCATTCAAGACAGGCAGCTTCAGAGTACATTTTTACAGTTGAATTGATGTGCACTTTACTTTGATATTATCATAATTATAAATATATTTTGCAACATTGTAATGAAATCTATCTGAACTGCTCAGTGCCCCTACTGATAAGCATCTGGAAAAGAAATAAGTGAAACATGTCTCCTGCTAGTAATATTGACCCACTCATACACTATAAAACATTATATATCAGTTCCATGTCCACTATCAGTGATTCAAGATCCAGCTGCAGTTTCATTCCCCCTAAATTATTGACATAGCTGTTTATTTATTTATTTTTTCAACCGACCTTTTTAGGAAAGCTGGAATAAATCTGTGAAACAAAAAATTAAAAACGTGTGGCCTTTTGGAACCCTAAGATATTCTTCTGTACTATTTACATTGTATTGATAGCCAGTCATTTTTTATTGACAGACAAGTCTGTTCTTTTTAAGTCATAATGTTTAGCTTTAAGCCATTGCCTTTGCGAAATGATTTTATTGAAATTCTGTTTCGTCAGACCATGATCCTTTGTTAAATGGGTGTATCTGCTGTGTGAGTCCCGCCCTTACTCAGTGCAATAGATCTCAGTCAGTGCCACCTCAAATGTTGGCCATTGACATGGTTTTCCATTACTTTTATGACATCACATCACACAGGGCTCCAGATAATTTTTAAATCCTTTGATTATTCACTCATGGTATCATTCACAGGAAGTGATTGTTTTCTTTGGGTATTCAATATATTTTTAACTCCCCTGGGTTCGGTCTATTGGTTATTTTTACACCACTGAGTAAATCTCTTTTTCAAAATAATTCTGCATAACATGCTGTTACTTGACAGCGTGTGGTTTATTCCCTGTAGTTGTGTTCTTGTATGTGTGCTGCCTGAACAGATCAGAAAAGAAATACATGTGACCATGCTGAAATACTTCATTGAGTAATTACAGTGTTAAATGTCAGGGCGGGGGGTGACATTTTTCATGCCTATTTGTACGCAAACCATTCAAAATTAATTGGGTAGTGGTGATTTTATGCAAATACGCAGCTTATCTGGAGCTCTGCATCACATACAATCATTCATAAGATGGAGCCATTCTTTAGCAAATGTATTTCTTCAATTTGTTTTACAGGAGAGATTATTGGTGGATCTCCATTGACAAATCTCGGGCTTGGCTTGTTTTCTTAAATTTTAATTAGTATTACAAGATTTATATTTGTTTTGATATATTTTTAAATTAAAGACACATAGACCATTGTCAGTGGCTCATTTTGTGTCTTATAAGGATACCATACCATAAATGTTGTATTTTAAAAATGTGTTGAAGTGTTGATATGCTAATTAAGTGCTTATTCAAATGTCTTGATGCAAGAGTTACGCAAAATAGAAGCTAGTGTATGTCAAGATATGTCTGTAATTGTTTCTTTATTGTCAATTTTGTTTGAGTTTTTGTTTAATGTAGGGGTTTCAAGATGCAACCGTCTGTTGATCATGCTCAACTCACAATATGAATCATACTTTATCTCCAACATACACTTAACAATTCTAGTTAACAGTAATGGACCTCTGTGTTGATAGAGAATAAAAAAACTTTATAATTGATAATCTGACTCCAGATTGAAAATAGCTTTTATGTTGTAACAGTTTTAGAGTTTTACATGAAATTGTAAAAAAACAACATGCCTATTCTGCCAGTCTTATTTTGATCCAAGAAAGGAATGTGTGACAATGTGAGTCCATGTGAACAGGACACCCGTACATCAATGTTTTATTCAAGTTGTATATTTGATTGAACCGTAGCCCAGCTACTTGTGCCATTATGTTTCCTACTTTCTGAATGTTCTCAGTATCAGCTGTGGTACATGTAGTTTTGTAGTCAAGGCCAGTATCAAGGTTGAGTTTACGTGATACGTTTGTCATGAAATGAAATATTGCTTTGGGATTGTGTCGACTTGTGCTAGAGACTTACAATACAGCATGTTTCTTCGTTGTTGTCCTCTGTATGTACAGCATGTGGATGTGTGCCAACACAAGGATTATGTGCAGTGAATGGGTTTCATCTCAACACTTTATCAAGTGTTACTGAATAGAATCAGTGTAAGTTTAGCACTGCTAATATGATTTTCCATTTTTTCCCCATTCATATTGATTTTATCAAAATCTATAACAAATTAAATTTGGTTGCTACTTATTGATATACATGTAGTATCACGATGTGTCGTTGACGTAAACCTGTTCTTCCAAGTCCAGTTTGAGATTATGTCGGAATCTAAGTCACAAGATTATGTGTATTTATCAGGGTTTATGAGTTCCCTCAAATTACTTTCAACACTCTGATTCTTGCTGATAGGATTCATTAACTTGCAAGGATTGTATGATACAAACTTTAACTTACATGATTACATGTTGTCTAGTCTAAACATGGTGCTCTTAACCTTATAGATTACATCTTGTAAGTCTTGAAGGATAAGTTTAGATGTATTGCGATTCATTTTGCCTGTGGTGTGGTGGTATCAATAGTATTGCTCCCAGGAAATGTATTGTGTATTGCGATTCATTTTGCCTTTGGTGTGGTGGTATCAATAGTATTGCTCCCAGGAAATGTATTGTGTATTGCGATTCATTTTGCCTGTGGTGTGGTGGTATCAATAGTATTGCTCCCAGGAAATGTATTGTGTATTGCGATTCATTTTGCCTGTGGTGTGGTGGTATCAATAGTATTGCTCCCAGGAAATGTATTGTGTATTGCGATTCATTTTGCCTTTGGTGTGGTGGTATCAATAGTATTGCTCCCAGGAAATGTATTGTGTATTGCGATTCATTTTGTCTGTGGTGTGGTGGTATCAATAGTATTGCTCCCAGGAAATGTATTGTGTATTGCGATTCATTTTTCCTGTGGTGTGGTGGTATCAATAGTATTGCTCCCAGGAAATGTATTGTGTATTGTGATTCATTTTGCCTGTGGTGTTGTGGTATCAATAGTATTGCTCCCAGGAAATGTATTGTGTATTGCGATTCATTTTGCCTGTGGTGTGGTGGTATCAATAGTATTGCTCCCAGGAAATGTATTGTGTATTGCGATTCATTTTGCCTGTGGTGTTGTGGTATCAATAGTATTGCTCCCAGGAAATGTATTGTGTATTGCGATTTATTTTGCCTGTGGTGTGGTGGTATCAATAGTATTGCTCCCAGGAAATGTATTGTGTATTGCGATTCATTTTGCCTGTGGTGTTGTGGTATCAATAGTATTGCTCCCAGGAAATGTATTGTGTATTGCGATTCATTTTGCCTGTGGTGTGGTGGTATCAATAGTATTGCTCCCAGGAAATGTATTGTGTATTGCGATTCATTTTGCCTGTGGTGTGGTGGTATCAATAGTATTGCTCCCAGGAAATATATTGTGTATTGCGATTCATTTTGCCTGTGGTGTGGTGGTATCAATAGTATTGCTCCCAGGAAATGTATTGTGTATTGCGATTCATTTTGCCTGTGGTGTGGTGGTATCAATAGTATTGCTCCCAGGAAATGTATTGTGTATTGCGATTCATTTTGCCTGTGGTGTTGTGGTATCAATAGTATTGCTCCCAGGAAATGTATTGTGTATTGCGATTCATTTTGCCTGTGGTGTGGTGGTATCAATAGTATTGCTCCCAGGAAATGTATTGTGTATTGTGATTCATTTTGCCTGTGGTGTGGTTGTATCAATAGTATTGCTCCCAGGAAATGTATTGTGTATTGCGATTCATTTTGCCTGTGGTGTTGTGGTATCGATAGTATTGCTCCCAGGAAATGTATTGTGCATTGTGATTCATTTTGCCTGTGGTGTGGTTGTATCAATGGTATTGCTCCCAGGAAATGTATTGTGTATTGCGATTTATTTTGCCTGTGGTGTGGTATGGGTATTATCGCTGACCCTGTATCATCACCAGGGCTCAAATAGGGTGGTTTCCCATGGAGGCACCACTATAAGCACAAACACTGAGCATAAAATCATTTTATTTTTGTTTCAATTAAACAATTGAACAAAATAATTGTTTGAGATCATCTTCCGGGGAACCAGTTTTCTATTCCTGTTCTGATATATCTACATACCCTGTATCATATCTGTATCCATATATCATTGATGCTTCCAGTGTTATGGTGCTCCAGTAATGCTTGTAGGTGTGTCCTCAGAACTTTCCTTAATGGAGATATCATGAGAAATCAGGGTTTATATATAATTTCTCTATATATGACCTATAGTTGTGTCAGTTTTACTTGTTTTAGAATATATGTTCAAAATGGCCAGTTAATTCCTGGCTGAGCTGCAACAGCAACAGCGTGACGTCATCATATTGGTTTAATCTTGAAGTAGCACTTGTGAGTCTGAGATTAAGAATTGCCTTGGTGCAAATTGAAAAGACAATACTTTGTTGAAGGAATATATTTTTCCTCAAAGGTGTAGGTTTTGTCTCCCCACTACTGACAGAGTAATACCGAACTGTGTAGTTTCTCTTGTCTGTGGCACGGTCAGCTCATACACTTGTAGTGAAGTAAGTGAGCCTGTGTGTTCAGTATAATGCAGAGGATATTCAAATAATCGCGATTATTGTTACTTGGGCTGAATTAAACCATGAAATTTGAGTAAGTGGTAAGTTTGTTATGAATTGCTTTTTAAAAACTGCTAGGAGTGTAATATTGTTAGAGCAAAGAGAAGTCAGAAGCTACCTGTTGAGAAGGATGTTCATGAAGGTGCGAGGATGTTTCACTCTGTTTGCAGTCCAAAATCAAATGTAAAATTTTCACATGCATTGTCAAAACATGTTGTAGTTAAGTTTTCTGGGGACACAATTTTACTGTAGTATTCTTTAGAGTCATCATATTGTTATTGAGGGATATTTGTCACAATTTAATGAATTATTAAGATTATGATTTTTACTATTTATTACAGGACTTCTTTTATGTTTTACTGATATGTCATTTATTTAGATTTTTACTTACAAGGACACAAAAATGGCTTTTTGTTGTCATTATTTAATACCTTGAGTAGTGTGTCTGATTGTTAAGAAACTCAAATCAATTCACGATATTGTCCTTTCATTTATGAAAACTGACGTTTGCACAGAAGGGTTTCTGTTTTACAAAAACTGCACAAAGTATATATTGAAACAGCTGTATTACAATCTCACAACCTACCCCTCACTCAGGTGGGCGTGTCACCTCTCCACAACATTCTTGTTATTACCATTGATGCACTAATATTTATATGCTTTACCGTATCAAGACTGTCCTCTTCATGAAGCTGGCATCAGATCTGTTGCTCTTCATTTCATCAGGCGGCCTATTCATGAAGCTGGCTTAGCACTGAGATTGTCATAAAGTTATTGTAGCGATAAAAATCTTAGCTAAGCCTTATCCTCATGTTGTCTTGGAGATAAGATATCTTAATTTATGGCAATAAGTAAACAGGGTAGGACCTGCATGAATCGTACATCAACATTTATCTGCACTCATATATTATATTGATGCACACATGAATTTCAGTCCAGGAAATCCCTGAATGATGTCATTGGGAAAGCCCCAGGTTATTTTACCTCCATTGCAAGAGCTACTTTCTTACCTAAGATTTGTGAGGTAAGTAAGGAAACCCTGCTGTAGGTTTAAGGCAGCTGCAAGAACAGCTCTAATAGCAGTCGTAATTTATGTTTTAAGTTACTAAGTTTGTCTTAGCTAAGACAGCTTTGTGAATAGGCCCTTCACATGGACTAACAATTTGATCTTCCCTATCTTTGGACATGAACTCACTTTAAAAATTAGCAGAGTGGAACCCAGTTCCATGAGGCCTCTGTGGCAAGTTCCAGCTAGTCCTAGTTGAACCAATTGAGCCATGTGTTCACCTTAATGTTCAACTTTAACAGATCTCATAAACCGCCTCTGTAAGCTGTGTATGAATGTAGGCTGCAAGCTTCTTCTATACTGAAGCAAAATAACAAGCTGATTATGACCAAAGTTCTCTGACTTTCCATGGCAAATTTGTGTCATGAGGCGACTTATTTCAGGCCAATTAGACATTGTAAACATTTGACTTTTGTTTTTAAGCCATTACTGAAAGACTTTGATGAATAATATAAAACATTTAGAGAAACTTGCAAAAATAATGTTCATTGTCTATCAGTTTTGTTTGCATACCCATGCCGATTGTCCAATGATTTTTGACATGGCATGTTTCTCACTTAAACACTAACCTCTCTTGTGTTGTCATTGTGATTTGTTTTATATGTGTTACTCATAAGTCAGTGTGTTGGTTTACAAATTCAAGTATTTTTATAATCATATGTATATCTACTACTCATGACTTCTCAAATTTACAAATGCAAATATTTCATCTTTTATACGCATCTGTGATTTCTTTCAGTATTGCATGCAGTTTTTGGCTGTGTATCATTAAGTGCATAATAGGAAATGCAGTGTTACATCCAAGCTAGATAGGGAACTCAATTTGATTTTAATGTGTTACTGATAGTAGCCTATAGCCTGTAGTTACCTAGTATAAGCTAGTATAAAACATTGTGTAAATCCATTTCACTCACCCACTTGAGAATTAAAATTTTGAAATAAATTCCAGTTTACAAAACTATTTATTAAATGGGGCAAAATGAATTTTCTTCTGTCCTTCAAGGACCAGAATATTTTTTAGGGGGAAATCTGCCAGTTCCCTTCAGAAGGCCAGTGTCCGGTGACTGTTTTGTTGTTGTAGGGAAATAGTACCTTCTCGGCCAGCACGTAACACTGCATCTCTCCAGCTTCTCCGTCCCATTGTTTTGGTAGATGAGAGTGGAATTCTACTTTTGTTACTGCATGTTCAACAATGTGTATTGACTTTGTTTGTTAATGTTAGTTTGTAGTCGCTATTGTTATATAGGCAACTTGTGTGGTATGAGACTTGGATCTGCCATTACCACACATTGCCTCCAGAATCAGCAAGAGTTCTAAGTTCAAAAGCTGCAGTATGTGGTAAACAGGCCAGGCCAGTGGACACCTTGGAAACAGTTTTTGTGTGTAGTACTGAAAAACAGCTGCAAATTAAGAGTCCTTTCCGAATTTGGATCGTATCGAAGGTGTTCTTCATCTCACAGTATCACTCCATGAGTAGGACCTCTGTTGTCTGAGAGCGAATGGAGTAGGACATCTGTTGTCTGAGAGGACTGTCATCTCCACATCGAGATGCATTGTATCCATTCACTGTGCCAAAAACATTGTGGTCTGCTTGCCCATATTTGGCGTCATTCTTTGGAGATTAAGCGGAAATAGACTATTATTTCCTGAACTTACTGAAAGAGTAGACCATAAGGCACCTTGAGCATGGCAGGTTTCTTGGAAGTGGTTAGCATCTAGGAACTGCATCACTTTTTGCTTTATCTTAAATACTGACACTCTGTGATAGATGACTGACCACAGGACGTTTTAGGGTAATTCATGCACATTTATGTGTCTGTCTCGAAGGATGGTTTTCTTCATGAAAAAAGCATGAATTTCTATAGAAAGTCCCATGGACTGGCATTCTTTAATCTACTTTTACCTGTTTACAGCAGGCTAACATCTCACTCATTGCCAGGCCAGTGACGATCAGTCACGATGTCATGTTATCATTTGAATGTGCAAGCTATGTATAGTGCGTATGAGTGAATGCATAATAAAATGACGTATTTACATAAAGTGTGTGCAATATTGCACCTTTTGTTGTTGACTGTTACATAAAAGTATTTGTCAGTGGACTCCAGGCCTGGCAAGGATCACTAAACTGAGGATCGGATGAGTCAATGAGCTCGAGTCTTCATATCGGAACAGTTCAACTGGCTCCCCTGGTGCAGACGTACAGAACAAAATATGAAAAGACAGTCAACAGCGGCATGAACAAACATGTATTGGGGTTATAGCGAAAACGGCACCTCAGCAAAACGTCACCGGGCGAAAACGGCACCGATTGGCGAAAGCGGCACCTCGACTTGAGCGAAAACGGCACCTTATTTTTTTTTTACCTTGGTCAAATAAATGATATTAAACTTACATTGTAACTTGCAAAGGCCAATAATTGTGAGATTCACTATACGCTTTGAAGTTTTAAGTACCTTTACTCAATTTAAGCTGAAACTGATTTAAGAGACCTAACATGGTGCTGTCAGGTCACAATTATTCACAATGGCCATGCGAGAAGAACATGCTGTATCCTGTGATAACTATGACCAGTGGACCCATCGTGTATGTGGAACCGGACTTTCTATCGGTAACTTTCATGTCAGTTTCCAGTCAGAAGATGCTGAAGAAATGAGAGTACCAAACCTATCGGAAATTCACATTACGGCTTCAGATGTACTCAATACATCAAATACCATGTAAATAAACCATATATATTACTACAAAAATCGTTGTTATCGTTATTAAAAATAGAGGTGCCGTTTTCGCCCGACACATAGTAGCCGTTTTCGCCAAATGCGGTGCCGTTTTCGCCAGACCCATCGTGTATGTGGTACCGGACTTTCTGTGAATCGAGAAATTAGCTGAGTCAGCTGCTATCACAATGTTCGGTGGTACAAAGGCCGATATTGTAAACACGTGATGAAGATATAATACCAAATAAATCGTTCTTATCGTTATTAAAAATAGAGGTGCGGTCTATTACAGAACACACAATAATTATTGAGTAGAACACGCATTTACCACTGTCGGTGACATAACCATCGGTCTCGTGTCGGAAATGTTGACTCGCCTGCAGCTGAAAAGTGCGTTATTCAACAATATTTCGGGGTGGATACGTTGACAATGATGTGCCAGCACTCTCATTTCCACCAGTAAGTGATCTCGCTAAATATAATGGTGAACAAAATTGCAGATCGGGGTTGTCCTCTGAGTTCATGCTATTTGCAAACAACACCGTCGACGTGAACTGTTATGGCTGTCGTAACCCAGTAATTAACCCAGTAACTGAAGACCCATGAAGATCCAGGGTAGAATAGCTCTTCAGCAACACATGCTTGCCGTAAAAAAGGCGACTATCCTTGTCGTAAGAGGCGACTAACGGGATCGGGTGGTCAGGCTCGCTGACTTGGTTGATGTCAATCACTGGATTGTCATGTCCAGACTCGATTATGTACAGACCGCCGTCATATAGCTGGAATATTGCTGAGTCCGGCGTTAAACAACAAACAAACACTAACTCAAATAAGTTGGAAGTTCGGGAGGGTGCCCCCCAAACACCCAACCCAACCCCACCCTACCCACCCCCCAAGTCAATTTACTGTCTACAATTCGCACTGTATAAATACAGTCTACAAAGAGTCCTGGTGTATTTGCTCAAATATTTTCCACAATAAAATGTTTTGTCAAAGTGTAGAAGTAGGGATGTTTTTTAAGAAGGGGAATATCCTCGTAAATATCCTTTCCTTAAAGATAATGGGTCTCGGCTATATTCGAAAGCACCCCCACCCCTTCGTGTGGAAATGTGTTAATTGTTTTCAAACTTACAGGAATCAATAAACGACCCAAAGCAAAATCAGGAACTATGCTTTGTAGTCGAAACTGTGGACTCGTACAGTTTGTAAACCCGTTCACCAGCAAAAGTTGCTTGAGTTGTTTGATAATACCAGGAGAATTATACGAATACTTGATATGTTTATATGTAACTAAATAGCATTACACGGACACTGAGATGTCTTATCAATGTAAGAGTTCCGCAGCTAGCATAACTTGCATGTCTTAATTTTGTATTCGTTAAGCATAGGACAAAAATCGTATGACATTGACCCGTCTTTTTTGTTTGCGGCGAAAAGGATAAAAATGAGTTAGGATTTCAGTTTTTCTTGTCAGGTTCAAATGATTTTGACAAAAACCTAAAGATCAGACGAGCAAATGCCTATAAAGATGTATTGTTCAGACCCAGTGTGGGCCGTTGGGGTAGCCTAGTGGTTATAGTGTTTTGTCGTCACGCCGATCTGCACACCGCAGCTGTGTCCTGCATTGTTGCATCATTATGTGAACGAAGAAGCTATTTGTCAACCATTTTGCAACATCTCCTTTTACCCACTAGACGGATGTCAACCAGAACAGTAAGTAATCGACATTCTGGGAATTTAGTCCAGAAGGGTAGTCAAGTTCCCTTCCTTGACGATCATCATCGGATAATTCGTTAGGGTGGTGTTTGGCCCGGAGAGCTTGGGATATTTAGTACCTGGCGAAGAGTCCATTGGCCCAATGAGAACATGTTCCCGCGCCATGCCACGGATGGCCGATTGAGGGTTTTGAGGCATAAAAATAGGCCTACACACCCAGGAACATAAGACCTACGACCCCGGATGGTGTAGGTTCGAATTCGGTAATGGTTGCCTGTCACACAGTTAACGTTGTAAGCTGGATCTTGTCACCATCCAGGGAAACCTCAAACCTCGGGACGCAACCAGTTGTTGTGCCGCATTTCGACAACCACCCACCCGCCACCCGACCTGTTTACATGGATGACAATGCAAGGACACATGGTTCCCGAGCAGTAACAGATTTTCTCCAGAATGACGCTGTGGCTCAACTGGGACATTTTGGGGCACCAAGTACAGGCACTGGACCTACCGGTTCAGACTCTGGCCCAATTGGAGGCAGTTCTTCTGCAATGAACATAACACTTGATACTTCACTGCAGTGAACTTAACACTTTGATGGAACTATTGTCTTACAAGAGTTACCTCCTCGCAAAGTATGTCCCCTTTACCATAAGTATCTCGCCGTACATAAACTGTTGACTTCCTTTTACGTTAGTTCCGAATTGACATGACAAATTAATGACAGATGGTCATTTATAGAGTTAATATCGCTACTTGCCGTTTGTTCTTCTCTTGAAAATATTTCCTTATAAAGTGTATGTTTCTCATTTAAATCGTCAATCGAGACCGTTCGTTTCGAAAAGCGCCAATTTGGTTATTTGAACAGCATGCATTCTTTCGCTTCCAACAGCCGTCTCGTAGATTTGAAGAATATTTTTTTGTTGAAGTTGATTTTGTTTATAATCGTATACGATGAAGAATATTTTTTGTTACTTTGTTTATATATATTTTAAGATTTTGCAATCAGAGAATTTTAAGTCGTAATTACAAGGAGTGGTGAAACGTCCCTGTGTGTTAGGTAGGGAGAATTTCAAGGTTTTACATTTTAAAGAAAACACTACACAAACAGTACATAATATATAGGATATTCCATGTGTCAAGTGATATATTATATTATATTATATTATATTATATTATATTATATTATATTATATTATATTATATTATATTATATTATATTATATTATATTATATTATATTATATTATATTATATTGTGGAGAACACTTTACGTTGTTTCGAAACTAGCAAGGTGATCTAAACTCAAGTTGTGGAGAACAGCATAGCGCTCGACATGGATGGGATAAAACAAGGACTACACTGTAAAGAAGTCAGTATACTGTGCCTCAGTGTCATATCTCAATGTTCTAGCAAAAACAAACCCCGACATTAATGCGGACAAGTGCAAACAGCCACACACACATGTGCATGCACGTCGCTATACAAGTCTAACAACGCGACGGGACGTTAAACCCAATTTCACCTCACCTCAACTTGTGGAGAACACGTATTTTTGTTGCGATACTAGAAAGGTGAGCTACAGAATGTGCAGTGGGTCGCAAAGCAAAGAGACGCAAATCGATACAGTTGCGTTATCCATCGGGGAGTATGCAGAAGGTACTCCAGGCCCCAATCGCACCAAGGAGTCAATCATTAATGGCAGTGTTTCGTGGGGAGGATCACTTGACGTATGGTCTGGCTAATTAAACTGAAATATTCATCATCATTGTGCAAACGGTGTTCGATAAGAATAATCAGCTGGAAGTGTTTCCTTTGGGAACAGCAGGTCATTCCTAGAATTCTAGGCTACATTTTAACTTTAGTATTTAGTGTCCCCACTTGTCCTGCACCATGACTGTGGAATATATTTATTTTATGAAAAAAATAAACAATCTAGAAACGCACACAAAAGCAAGGCTAGCCAGCTCGAGCTAGCTCTCTTTTATTCTAGGAAATCAGAACAGGAAAAGTTTTTCTTTCAGAGTCAAGAAGGATATTGTGCAATATAAGAATTCATAGACTAAATGTTAAAATCAGCATAGGGATTTGTTTTTATTTTTAGAGTTAAGAAGGAAATTGTGTGATATAAGAATTCATAGGCTAAATGTCAGTGTATGTCCCCACAGTCGGAGTAAGACAGTAAGTGAATAGATGTCGATCTCCTCTTTGTGGCCGTATTGCAGTAATATCACGACGTGGGACAACAAAAACAGAGCTTCATATTTGGTACCCATGTCTGAAGTCGAACCCGGGTTTGACGAGCGGTGTGGGGCACAAGAAATGGGCTCCACGTATTGCACCCATGTGGGAATCGAACCCGGGTTTGACGAGCGGTGTGGGGCACAAGAAATGGGCTCCGCACATTGCACCCATGTGGGAATCGAACCCGGGTTTGACGAGCGGTGTAGGGCACAAGAAATGGGCTTTACGCATTGCACCCATGTCTGAAGTCGAACCCGGGTTTGACGAGCGGTGTGGGGCACAAGAAATGGGCTCCACGCATTGCACCCATGTGGGAATCGAACCCGCGTCTTAGGCGCGATGAGCGAACACTTTAACCACGAGGCAA